ATGAATTAAGCATTAAAGACAAGTCACAGTAAAAGTACGACTGTGACGATGCAACCCAAATTGTGGACCATATTACTCTTTGGTTCTTTCGGTAAAGTCACGTAGGTATAAAATAAAATTAATCACGACGTTTCGATTGCAACACAAGCAATCATCATCAGGTGGGAAAACCAAAGCAAGAAAAACTTTTTTTACTGAAGTAGGAGAGAGAAAACCTTGTTGATGATTGCTTGTGTTGCAATCGAAACGTCGTGATTTATTTTATTTTATACCTCCATGACTTTACGGAAAGAACCAAAGAGTATGGATTCCTGCAATCACGATAGCTTCAAACCAAAATTGTGAACCATATTGTAAACCATTGCAGTCTGCGCTCCTTCAGCGTGATTACAGACTCAGACGGAGACCAGGGTACAATGTTCAGGGCTGCTTGCCATTTATTCACATCGACATCCGCACCTCCCCTTTCTGTCTCGAGTACCCCCAACTCCCTGACTCTCGCCCTCTCTCCTGACTCCCTCGACCATCATCCAGGCTACCCCGTACTCATCCATCCGTAGCTTCCTTTGTCTTTCCGGCCCAGGAGCCTTTCTCCCTGCTACCTGCCCCCTCTCTCTCTCTGACACCAGCGTGGACGGCACCCCTCGTGTTCACCTTCTGAAGCGCTCGCTCGTCACCGCGGCGTGCGCGATGACACCACCACCACGTGGCTTTTCTTTTGTATTGTGCGCGGTGCTTTTAGCGCCACAGCGCGTCGATTTGTAGCGTTTATTTTCATGTTTGCTGGTGACTGTGTATTTCATATTGAAATCGCCTCCAGTGCTTTTGCTGCTGGCGGCAATAAAAGTTGTTTAAAAGTCAAACGTATCTCTGACTCTTCTTTCCCACTCTCCCCTTCCGTCCAGGTTCCCCTTTTATCCCCTTAGCCCGGGCTCCTCCCTTTTACCTGGCTCTCCTCCTTCTACCCGGGGTCTTTCTACTTACCCTCCTCTCTCTCTCTCTTCCCCTTCTGGCAGGCCCTCTGCACCAACACAAATGGTGCACTGACTTTCACGTTTTGACCGGTCGACTTTGAGCGGGCGATGTGCGTGGCTCGTGGCGGTGTGGCGCACGTGCCGCGGTTTTGCGATGGCGACGTTTGCTGTACTCGATGTTGGTGACCCCGTATCGAAAGTGGTTCCAGGGCTGTTGCTGCTGGCAGCAATAAAAGTTGTCAAAAGTCAAGTCTCTCCCTTCTGGCACTCCCCTTGCTGCTTAGGCCCCTTACCGCAGTTCCTATGATCACTGTTTCATTGCTTTCGTGGCTTTATTTTGGTGATTTCGAAAGTGTATTGGTTTAGCCATGTTTGTTTGTTGTTGTACAGAGTTAGACTGATGGCCTTCATCTAAGTCGTCTTGTGGTTGTTGTTGTTTGACTTGCATCCCACTGGGATTTTTGCACACAGCGTTGGTGTATGGTGTTTTTTCTGCAATATTTTGCTGTCTTTTCTTGGATTTTCTGTTTGCACGCAGTCACATATTAACTGTAAGATGTTTTTTGTTCATGTTTTTGTTTTTTGTTTGTTGCGGTTGCACCCGATTCAAGAGCCGAATGGCTCACAGTTATACCTAATAAATGAACTTGAACCGCGGTTACCCCTCGTTGGGTCCATGCAGTACTCCGCTACACACGGATACACACTCTCAAGTATGAAGCCCTCTAGTGGCTAGGGTAGCTTGACAGTATTTAGCTTACTGGACATACAGGGTTGGTCCAGGTCAGATTTTTTTCCTTCAGAATATTAATTTATACTGGAGGAATCAGATGAGCTATAAAGATATGTATCAGTAGTGACCCCCATTGAATTATCTAAAACTTAATATTTTTTTGTATACCAATGACTGTGAAAACAGATGTGAATAGGCAAATTAAACCAATAGTAGGGGCCAATCAATTGGGGGTTGGTCACAAGACATCCGGACCACCTTGTACAGTATTGCAATCTGCAAGAATAGAATGATCGAGCAGTGCCTGGCTGGTTCCTCTGAAGAGAGAGAGAGAGATAGGGATGGTTATTGATAATTGCTCGATAAGGCGATCACCAGGGGGCCAAAGACAGATGAGATGGAGGGAGAGAGAGTGGAGCCTCACATGGAGAAGGTATATAAGAAGAGATACAGGGTACAGAGGGGGTGTAAATTGTGAAACGTCCAAGCAACGGCTGGAAGGGAAAAAAATCGTTCGGGCTGGGCTGGTGGCGTGGTACGGTGCAGGTCAAGGGGCATCCGGCGCGTGAGGGGTGGCAGGAGGCGTCCGGTGAGAAGGAGTCGCGTAACGCCGCTTCCATTCGTGCGTGTGGCAGCAAGATTGTCATGGGCTAAAAAGGTTCATGGCTAGGTCTGTTATCCAGGACGAGAGGGCTGCAGCAGAGAGTTCGTGTAGTTTAGAGAGGACGCAATCCAGCGTTTTATTACAACGTTGCCCGCGGGCTGAACATTTCCCAAAGACTGAAATGAACATCGATTATTATTCTTGCGTATGGCAATATGTTCGGCAGCAAAATGCCGATGTGTCTGCTCGCCACAAGAAGGCTTCTGGAGAGAGTTGGTGATGTTATGCTATTCCTGCATGGAAGGAGTGCAGATGAGTGGTTTTACTACACGGCAGAGGTGGGACAAAGTCATTGTTATGCAAGTCCAAGTCGAGTCTGAAGTCATCAAATTCATGACTCGAGCCTGACTCGAGTCCAAGTCACATGACTCGAGTCCACACCTCAGAGGTGGGACAAAGTCATTGTTATGCAAGTCCAAGTCGAGTCTGAAGTCATCAAATTCATGACTCGAGTCTGACTCGAGTCCAAGTCACATGACTCGAGTCCACACCTCTGCTACACGGCCCATAGTTTTGGGTTGCATGGCCCCCAGTCGCACTGTGGCTTATATCTTTTTATTTTCTTGTTGATGTTCCGATGCCGTTGATGGCTCCACCAGTGACTTTGAGAAATGTCAAAGCCAAGAAATGCCATGTTTGAGCCGTTTAATTTGGGTATTAACTAGTTGTGTAACAAAACGGACACGGGAAGACACGGGAAATGTGGGGAAAGGGTTTCTAAAAACACATAGAACAGACTTGCCAGGAGTTAGTAAGCTCAAGTTTATTTAATGTGAATATTGGTAAACGTTTTACCATTCATCAATGACAAACTTTAATTCAGTGTGGTCATTTCACTTGTATTGTGAACTTGGGTAAGAAAATAAACTTATGAAACGATTGCCACCACTAATAATTAAGTATGTTTAAATACACCTCACCAATACACACCAATTTCAAGAATTGGCAGGATTCGGGGGTTGCGATGTTTTATATATACTTCTTAGTCTTTGTGATTTATAATCACTGCTCTACCAATCAAGATTCCTGTCGGTCTCTTATGACTTGCGGCCGCAACTGAGAATTTATTTTGACGTGACATGTTCCCAAACATTTGTAAGGCAACGAGAAAGATCTGGGGTGATGGGAGCCTTAGTTTCGATTTGGCAAAGCTGGACCCTGATATGACGGGGATATTTAACCTCCCATGTGAAGGAGATTTGGTTAGAATACCTACAGGATTAACCAGAGTGGCCGTGGGGTTCGAACCGCAAATCTCTGCATCAACTGCCCAACCGACGATCACTCACTCGGCCATGTCACTGCCCCAAATCCACTTTACGGTTCAGACTATTAAGCCGATTAAAGGACTAAAAAAACATTAACTTTTTAGTGGTCAATTTCTGGGGCCCTGTTAAACATCGTGGCTGTCCACACATTCTCATGGAGGCTGGAATCCCCTCCCACATCGCCCAGTGTGACCACGCTGACGATGCCAATTAAGTTATCCATCAACAAATAATGCGGTTTTTACATGACCGACGACTCCATCTTAAGTTCAGAAACGTGCATTGTCACAGTGGGTCGGTAACGATATAAAGCTGTCAAAACACACCATGGCCAGGCATATTTCTCAGATTTGCACCAAAGCGACATAAACATTACTTACACCTATTGCCGTTATGCTCGTCAGCTTTATTTTTATCCGATGAAAAAAAAAGTTATTTATCCAGAAAATTCTCGCCGAGTCTCAAGATACTTTTCAGGAAGGCCCTGCTAACAGGTTTGGTCAGTTAATGAGTGTTTTCCTTAATGTGGCAGAACACTTGGTAATGAATAAGTGGGGAAGGAACACACGGTGCTTTTTTATGGAATTTTTGCTCTTTTCTTGGATTTTTTGTTTCCACTTAGTGACATATTCACTTTAAGATGTTTTCTTGTTCATGTTTTTGCTTTTTGTTTGTTGCGGTTGCAACCCGATTCAAGAGCCGAATGGCTCACAGGGCTTTACCAAATAAATGAACTTGAACCTGAACGCTAAAAAAACTCCACACAGTTGGATTCAATAATCCACTTTCCATTCTGCCATCTCGTGGCCACCCCTACAGCCCCACTGTGCAATGGCAACACGGGATGAACACTTGCAACGTGAAGCATGTTGCCAACTGCGGTGGAGATTTTAGGGATTCTGTAATCCATCTGTGCGGAATCTCGCGACTGAATTCCCCAGCGATTCGATTCGATTCATCTCGCGCGAATCGAACGCTTGAGAATCGGGGGGGGGGGGTAAACGTGCAGCCAATCAGAGCGGCGCTCACAGCAGCGCATCGAGGCTCGACCAATGAGCTGCCTCGTCACATCGCGCGGGCCCAGAGCACGCCCACCCGTGAATCGACTCGGAACGTGCAAACATCGGTCGATTCGATTTCGTTAAAACTTTAAAGCAAAGCGCGAGTTCAATTAACGACGCCGACGCGCTTACGCCTTTCTCGCGACTCCAAAAATTCCCCGCCACCACCCCCCACAATCTGCAAGCGTTCGCTTATTATCGTAAAGAAAAAATTTGAAAGTGTATGGTGTAAAAAAAAAAAATCGATTCGACGGCACTGGAATCGACGCCGTAGATTACTCGCGGATCGATCCGCCGTCTCCTTGCCCGCTTTTGTGTGTCCCGTGGTGGTGCAAGAGGGACGCGTTGGGGGGCCTCTGCCGGTGCTCCAGTGTCTCAACACTCAGTGTTGTTGTTTCATTGTAATAATTCACAAGACAAACCGCTAATGTCGACTCTGAAGCAGCAGCAGCAGAAGGAGGAGCGCGGCGGGGTCGAGGTTGCGGTGGCGAGCAACGAGGCGGTCGAGGCGGGCGGCGCCTCCGAGCGCACCCCGCGCAAGAAGGAGCGCGTCTCGCCCGGCGCCGAGGCCGAGGCCGACGGTGGCGGCGGCGGCGGTGGTGGTGGTGGCACGGCCGAGACCCCCGAGGGTCGCAGGACGAGCCGCAGGAAGAGGGCCAAGGTGGGGCTCTCCACACCCCCCCCCACACACACCCCTCCATACACACCCCACACACCACACACACACCCCCACACACACACAAAGACAAAGATCCCCCGTGTGGCCTTAACAGACTAGGGGCAAGTGTTGTTGGCAAGTAGCAGCTATGAAGGGCGGTTCGGCACACGAGGGGGGTGGGTGGCCAGCAGCACGCCCGGTCGCCTTTGTCTCCCCAGTGGCGATGTTAACACGCCGCACCAGGTACTCATTTGAGGCTGAGTCGACCTAGGGGAGGCCTAGGGCCCCCCCCCACACACAGCCCCCCCGACACAGCCCCCCCACACAGCCCCCCCCCACACAGCCCCCCCCACATACAGCCCCCCCCCCACATAAAGCCCCCACATAAACAGCCCCCCACACACACAGCCCCCAGCACAGCACCCCGACACAAGCCCCCCCGACACAGCCCCCCCCCCCCACACACGCTACCCCCCCCCCACACGGCTACCCCCCCCCACACGGCTACCCCCCCCCCACACGGCCCCCCCCCCACACGGCCCCCCCCCCACACGGCCCCCCCCCCCACACGGCCCCCCCCCCACACGGCCCCCCCACACGGCCCCCCCACACGGCCCCCCCCCCACACGGCCCCCCCCCACACGCCCCCCCCCCCACACGCCCCCCCCCCACACGGCCCCCCCCCCACACGGCCCCCCCCCACACGGCCCCCCCCACACGGCCCCCCCCCCCCACACGGCCCCCCCCACACGGCCCCCCCCCCACACGGCCCCCCCCCCACACGGCCCCCCCCCACACACGGCCCCCCCCCCCCACGGCCCCCCCCCCCCACGGCCCCCCCCCCACACGGCCCCCCCCCCACACGGCCCCCCCCCCCACACGGCCCCCCCCCCCACACGGCCCCCCCCCACACCACCACAGCTTTCAGCATACCCCCCTCCCCTCCTCTCCCACCAATTGCCCATGACCTGACCTCATCAAACCTGAGCTGACCGTCACCTGAGCTGACCTACCTCGCCTTCACCTCACTTTATCACGAGCTCCGGGAAGAAGGCCGATGTGGGGTGGGGGGTGGGTCTCTAGCACCCCCTTCTAGGGCCAGGTCATGACCTGACCTTCCATGTCGCCTGGCTTTATGGGCCCTGACCTCTCCCGTTCCACTGTCTGACCTGAGCCACCCGTCGCCTCCTCACTCCAACACTGACCGTCTGCCAGTGCCCTGGGGCCCTCTATTCGTTCGCCCATACCCTGTGACCTGATCTCACGTCACCCACCTTAGGAGAGGCCCAAGGTGAAGTCAAAAAAAGCCTCGCCTGCCAGTGCCTTCTCCTGGCCTGGCCGAGGGCCCATTTGGAGGCCCCCAATTTGTCTCCTCCTTTTCACCATTTCTCGCGCTGCGATGCCCTTTCCCCTGTCCCTGGTCTTATCTGACCTGACACATTCTCCATCTCTGCCCAACCCTGTACAGCATGCGCTTTGCACGCTCTGCATAATCCTGCCTTGCCGTGCCTTGTTGTCGCCTGTAACTCCCCACTGCTGGGGCAAAGGCCTCCCCCTCCCACCCACCCGCCCATGTTGTTCCATTCATCCCCTGTCCGAGAAGAAGGCCTCGGTTACAGTACAGTAGTTTTTTTTAATTCATCTCGCTGCAATCTCTTCCACTGTCTCTCTCTTTCTACCTCATTTGCCACGAGATATCCAACTCTGTAGTTGGCGTAAATCCACACCCTTTCGTGTCTGGCCCTTTGTGTGGTGCACTTGCGCCCTCCACCCGCTTGCTGCCTTTGTCTGAGCCCGGCCTGCCCCCTTCCTCTGTTGTCCTGTACGTTTGAGCCCAGCCATGCACTTGTCTACTGCCCGAGCTAGATGTTTGTCAGAATTGCTTGGTTACACGAAGGCTAAAAGTGGCCTTTGGCGAAACGGGAAATCGGAATGTAACGCTTTGGATCTCGCTGAGTGCTGAAACAGAGGGCCCTGTTTTCTGGAGTGTTTCAGACAAATGACATGCACGCTACATCCATCCCGTGTCTCGGTCCACTGTTGTAGAAGTGTTTCCCCAGCCGTTCAGGTAGTTTTAACGCTTTGTGAGTTTTGTGTGGTTTTGTGTTAGTGGCATCCCTATGATGACATCTCTGCCCATGTCCAGCAAGGGGCGCTGTGTCCTTTTGCAGCCGTCCCTGGACCGTGTGTCACCCTTGTTCCGCCTCGCTCGCTCCTTCCCTCAATCCAAGGCTTTGCCGTCGCTTGCATTGTGGCTGTAAACCCGCATTTATTTATCTCTCTCTCTCTCTCTCCGCCATGCGAGCGAATCCTGCCGTGGATGTGTAGCCACCGTGTGTGGTTCACAAAATAGTCCAGAATCCAGAATTGGATGCGGAGCGAGGAAGAGGTGGGCTGCTCATAACGAACGGGTGATGTGGTGTGGTGGTGGTGTTCCTTGTTTTGTCCGTTCTGCACCTGTATGCAAATCATGGCCTCATCTCACAATGGAGAGGGGACCAGTGTGTGTGTGCGCGCGTGTATATATCTATACTGCTGCCATTTATTAATATAGCCTGCGACGCATTGACAAGTATAATGGCTAGTAGGCGGTGAGATCTGAGGGATGTTTGTGAAACGTGGTTGAGAAGGCGAACGCCGGCAGCGGGAGGGACATTGTTATTGCGACGTCAAGAGCGTTTTCTCGCTGGGTGATCCATTTACAGACGTCCCAGTGATCAAAGACCGTGTGTGTTGTGCGGCCGAACCGCGACGTATCAATGACCGGCTTATGTGCGTACGTTGTAGGAACATCAGAGCCATCAATGTAGGACAGCGTATATTTAATGAGCGTCCTGTGTTTCGGTCGATCGTAGACACGCAGAGGCTTTTGAATGAAAATGTTTTCGTAATTTATCTTGTTTTAGTGGAGTATCTAGATATGGATCAGCTCGCATTATCGTTTAATGGCTTGCACATTTGCCGCGCAGTGAAACTGGAAATGCTGTGTGGACACATTCACGTTTGTAGTATTGATAAAAACAAAAATCCTTTATGCTCTCGTGATGCATCAGGCTGCAAGATGCGTGCGAGCACAGCAGACAGGCGGGATGGAAGCCATGGCCACACTGAGGCTACATTTCCACGGAACCTGGGATAGGCATATACAACGAGCCACACTGTGGATTGAATTTTGTGAACAAACCATTGTGAATAAATGTGTACAGAGACCGAGCCTGGTCTGCACCGGCATGGCAAGGTAGCCTGCGGACGGAATCTGGCCCACTGGTTAATTTACATCCGGCCCGTGGCCACCTGAGGCCTACCAGTTGGCAGCAGCCTGCAAACGATACATGTTCATTTGCACCTGTGTGCAAAATCATGGCCCGATTTCATGATGGAGAGGCCATTTGCAGCTTGTGCTCCGCCGAGGATAGGGAGCATTCGTTTATATGGAAAGCATGCTTGGCTGTTTGTCCTGGGAGCAGTGTATTCTCAACAAAAGGGTGTGGATGAATGTGTGGAAGGACCTGGTCTGGAATGGGCTGATATTGGTTGAAAGCGGGGTTGGGAAAACCTATGGCCTATGGGCTGGAATTCGGTCCTCTACTTCATTTCATACCGACAAAATATATTCAATTATTATAAGTCATTGAAAGCGTCATATCTGCACCAATTGAGTACTAGAGGGGAATATTTTTTTAACCTGGTAACACTTTCTAGATTGAATATTCAGTTATTTATAACTGCTTTTTTTTGTTTATTTTGATAGCCTTCCCCACATCTCCAATTAGCATGGGTTCGCTACGTACGGTGCGAAATAATTTCTACATACATACTTTGCAGTTGTGCTTTATAACTCTCTTGTGTGTTTTCGGGTTGTATTGAACAAGACGTGGTACAACCCTAAAACACCGAATTGTCTTCCTAATTTAATGTAGGAAAGGCAAACCCTAGTTATTTTGCACAAAACGGTTGGTTAACATGAATGTCTGTTAATTCGTCTCGCCAAAGGCAATTCAAGTCCTATTCAGGGAGCACCGAATGTATCGTCGCCATTCACAGCTGTGTCTTTGTATTGCAATGAGCAGTTGAGTGCCCATTGCAGAATTAACAAATGCTCTCTTCTGAGCCGAGCAATGCAAAGGTGGCCTTGCGGATGCAAAACTATTTCTACGTTGCATTTCTAACACAGCGAGACACAGTCTGGAACTAGCACGGCACCTCCACGGCGGTGCCATTCATTGGCTTCTTACATCTGTCCGTCCCCCCCTCCCTTGTCCACCCGGTACGGTGTGGCCTTTTGTTGTGACCGGCTCAACAGCAGGGGCAACATATGGGCCACTCTGTCCTGGTGTGTATTCATGTAACACTAGTTCTTTGTCTTTTTATAACCGTTGGAAAGGGAACATTGAAAGAGTGAATATCTGCGCTGAGCACAGTGTTGCAAATGTTTCTTTTGACATTAGATTTATTTGACAGTGTTGCTTCTGATTTATGAAGGCTTTGCAGGAGTTTCTCGATGTAAATCTTGGCAACAAAATGAAAAGGCATCTCTCGACGACTGGCTTGGTAATACGCCGTGAAGGCGCGGTCAGAAATATAAACACATTTTTATTTTTTCTTTGACCAGGTAAGGCCCACTGAGCTATATAGCTCTTTTTCAGAAGCTACCTGGCCATAAATGATAGCTTAAAAAATTGGCTGAGATGTTAACTACCTCGCCTGGTATACACAAGGCCATGGGTTCGATCCCGACCCTGACAACTGTATATTTGAAGTTTGCATGCTCTCCCACGTGGTAGCATGGATTTTTCTCCAGACCCTCCAAATTTTCTCTCCATTTAAAAACATGCATTTTAAGTATTTGGTTGCTATAAATTTCCACATGATAAGCCACTTCGTTGAGCTATCATTTGTGGACGGATCGCTTCTGAAAATGAGTGATATAGCTTATGTGTGCCTTACCTGGCAAAATAAAAAAATTGTTTAGTCTGAAGTCTTATTTTTTTCCATTTCTAAAGCTTCAAATTAGTCTCGGACAGCATTGGAATCAGCCTTGGTAGGTATGTACAAGATTTTGCCTCATATATTCGGATAAAATGCCATCTTTATACAAAATCATATTAACGGATTCCTGGTTGTGGGTGGTCATCATGAAACACTAATACCGTGCTTTTCATGGCTAATGCTCAGCACCTTTTGGCTGCCAATAGAGATTAACAATGAATGAACTTATTGCTGTGTAGGATTTTTTTGCCTTTGTGTACATCTCTCCAATGTGTTGTCGGGTTTTACCACATGTTGTCCAGCATCATGTCCGACGTTTCGCTCCATGCACTAGGAGCTTCTGAATGTATTTTTCCTGAAGAAGCGCCCAGCAAATGGAGCGAAACGTCCAACATCATACCACACAACACTTGGTAGAACCAAAATAAAACATCGGAGAGCTCGTGGATGAACCCAACTGCTGCTGCCCACATTTATTATGCTGGTCAACTAAAAAAAAACATTTTTTTCTGGTCTGGACTAATTTCAGGGTGCCGATTCCAAATCTGATCTCAGATTTGCTCTATCACATCTCATTTTTATGCTATCGGCATACCCCATTTTCATTGATTTTACCCGAAATTAACTCTTGTCACTTATGATTGCAAGTTGTTGCGAGTCAGTGACTGCTGTAGTGTTAAAATATGGTGCTGTATTTTTAGGATAGTGTCTTTATAATATCATTTTATGTAGATCTCCACATTTATTTAATATTTTTCTTCTGCAGTTTCTATTGAAAATGCAATATTTGATATCTCAAAAACCTGATGTGATAGACAAAAACTCGATGCCAGATTTGGAATCAGCACCCCAAAATTACCATAAAACTGTTGGAATACCTTATGCCAGAAAAAGTGTGTTGACCAGTGTTATTGTTGCGACCCCCCCCCCCCCCCATGATGACCCTGTGACCCCCCTCCTGCTCTTTTCTCGGCCATTGTCGTGCTAGGTGGAGTACCGCGAAATGGACGAGAGTCTGGCCAACCTCTCGGAGGACGAGTACTACTCTGAGGAAGAGCGCAAGGCCGAGAAGGAGCGGAGGCAGATTACTGTGCCCCCTCCGCCACCTCCCCCGCCCCCCGAGGAGGAGGAAGACAGCGACATCGATGAGCCGTCCGGTGAGAGCTTTAAAAAATATTTTCCTACATCTATCTTTCCCAATTTGATTACAGTTATGGAATTGTCGTCGTGCTGTGAGAGTTTGTGTGTCTCTATTTGTCTTTGTCTATGTGTTTATTTGAGTATACGTGTGTACTGTGTACCCCATAAGTGGAGAACATGGGGCAGAGGGGACAAAGTCTGTGGGGTACGTATGAAGTCTTTTGGGGGGGGATTTACACTCTGAAAGTTAATGGTGTAACTTTCTAGCTTTTATTAACAAAAAAAACTATTGTACAAATATGGGGAAAAAAATAAATTCTTACGGGTTGAGCAGTGGAGCCAAGAAGGCTGAAGGATTCATGCCCACATTTGTTGCCAGCTGTGTTTATGTTTGTTTTATTTCAGCATTTTAAGTTCAGGAGTTACTCGATCAGACATTTTCATTTCACTGGGAGCCATGGAGAGGTTACTTGACTAAAATGACAGCAGATACATTTACTAAACACTCAAGACATTTAAAGTCATTGTATGAATAAAATATGATATCCTGAAATTATAATACAGCTGTACAGCAGTATTCTTCTGTATACCAACACGCCTATGTGCACAGTGCTTGTGTGTGTGTGCTTACATAAGCGTTTATAACATGGCATGGAGCCAAAGTAAATGGATCGCAATAGGCGCATGCCTGCCTAAGTAAATGACATTGAAATAAGCCGAATTATCTCAAGGAGAGCATGTGGAACAACAACAACAACAGGCTGGCACTGGTGCACACGTGAGCGGGTGAGTGTGGGCGTGTTGTGACAGGCCTGGAAGGGGCAGCGTTCCAGAGCCGCCTGCCGCACGACCGCATGACCTCGCAAGAGGCTGCCTGCTTCCCCGACATCGTCAACGGCAATCCGCAGACACAGAAGGCCTTCCTGTACATCCGCAATCGCACGGTGTGCAACGACCCCCTGCATCTCCCCCCTCCTAGATCGCTACCTCCCCTCTGAACTTTTCCCACACAGCCGTGATGCCCTACGAGGCTCCAACTTGCTGCCAAAAAAACAAGGGGCTCGTTCACAGATTGTGGAATTGTAAACATTTAAATTATAATTCGTCCACCAAGGAAATGGAGCGATGAAACAAGTTTGTGTGAAGGTACATGGAGGAATATTACCATTGCAGGATTGTGAGAGGCGGTGGCGGTTTAGGGAGCCCTTCATCTAGCAGTGGATTGCCCATGGCCGTTGATGATAAAGAATTATGATAGCTGCTTATAATGTATCCAGGAAGGAGTGGAATGGTGGTGCAGTGGGCCTCACTAGGTTTCAAGACTTTTATGAGGACTGTGCAATGCGATGTTTGAAATTCTTAACACAAAATGCATTGACCTATATTTAATGACCTCTTACTTACGCTAGTGGGCGATGCGCTTTAACACATGCCCAGAGCTGGAAATTTTGCAAAAAAATAAGAGAAGACCCAAATTTAACATTGTGCATTTTTTCTTGACTGTTGGTGGAGAGCCAGGGCCAGTCCATATATATCACTCCCCACTTAATGTAAGCTGTGGCAAGGAATACAAACCTATGCAGCTTGGTTCATGGTGAATTGTGTTGACCACTGCACCCCCACCAGGCATTTTTGTTGGAAATAGCACAGTTGGCTGCGTACGGTGTGAAAGAAGTTCAACATGCATACATAAAAACAATTTAAATTATTAAAAAGTTTGATTTGTGTCCACGCAGCTGCAACTTTGGCTCGACCAGCCCAAGACACAGCTCACATTTGAGCAGATGTTGCAACAGCTGGAGTCTCCTTACAACAGTAAGCACTTAATCCACATTCTCAAACACCATAGTTATTACGGCACACATTAGGCAAAAACAAAAACAGATAGCCTGTAAATGTCACTCTTGGTTACAGAAATCATACAAAGTTGTAATGTGTTTACCCATTATCGTCACACTTGGACTGCTTTTGTCAACTGCCGCTAACTTTCCCGCCATTGGGTAATTAAGCAGCTACAGTTTGTGTGCTATTGTCAAGCACTAGATCTATGGTTCGTACTGTTATCCCTGAATCGCAACAACTCTGCATTTGCCCGCCTCATGTGAAGGTACTATTCATGTAAGATCCGATGGCTGAAGCGTCAAGGGACCGCGAGAGATAGCAACGGCTTGAGAGGGGGGGGGCCTTCACCCAGCAGTGGATTTATCATGACCGATGATGATGATGCTGATGTGTTTACGTGCGCTGCAGGCGACGCACAGCTCGTGCATCGCGTGTTCAACTACTTGGAGCGGCACGGGCTCATTAACTTCGGGATATTCAAGCGCGTCAAGCCCCTGCCAGGCACGTCCCACGGTCTCGCCTTCTCGCTCGCGGCCGCGCGGCGTTCTGCCGACCATTTCGTGTGGGCGGTCTGGGCAAAAGCCCTTTGAAATGTTGTAACCGCCCCGTGTTGCTCTTGGCACCGCAGTAAAGAAAGTGGGAAAGGTGATGGTGATCGGAGCAGGGGTTTCGGGGCTCGCTGCCGCGCGGCAACTGCAAAGCTTTGGCATGGATGTCACCATTCTGGAGGCCAGGGTACGTTTCTTGTTTGTTATCTTTTCACAAGGTTTTTTAAAATATATATCGTGTGTAGAAGTACTGAACTGCTATCATCTTTAGAACGCATCTGTAAATGGTGTGCATGCGTATAACATCCAAAGATTGTGCATTTACGCTTTCAAAGCTGTAGTCTTGGCGTAATCTGGACTCTCATGTCGAAGCCCCAACGGGGCAAGGCGAAAGGCAACTAATGTCAGAAAATATTGCTTATATTAGAACTATGCCTATGTAAGGTTTCTTAGATCTAGATTCCACTGTTTTAGTTGTGCGAGTGTTTTTTATCTGTCGTCCAGGACCGAGTGGGAGGCCGTGTGGCCACGTTTCGGAAGGGAAACTACGTGGCTGATCTTGGCGCGATGGTGGTAACTGGCCTGGGTATGTACTCTATGTCCTTTTTAAAAAATTCTGTTGATAATATCTATGTTAACTTCATATCTGAAAAAAAAACTAGATTTATATGGAAAGTGGTTTTAGCATTGCCAATATTTAGCATTTTTGTTCCCGAGTAATGTATTTTTTGGCAAGTACATATATTTGCCTTTCTGCAGACATTGTATAATCTCCTATATATTACAACATTTTCAACCTTAAGAATGTCAAACAAATATATATATATATAGGCATCAGATAAGTCAGTTTCGATCGCAACACAAGCAACCGTCATCAGGTGTGAAAATAAACACAGCAGGATGACTGCTGTCGTAGGAGAAAAAGCTGCTGCAATAAGAGTTTATAGAGGATTTTGTCACATTGTACCTAGTATCATAATATTTCTATTTAAATGAAGACTTAACATCCACCACCATTTATTTAATTGATAGCTATTTTAAACATATATAATTTCTTCACATCCCTTTGTTAATCGACTGCTGGATAAAGTCCCCCCCCCCCCTGCACCGTGTTGATCACGGGGCTTATTTAACCATACTTCACACTACTCAGTGCGGTTTGTTGATGTTGGTGGAGAGCCAGGGCCAATTCAGATATAACGCCCCACCTAACATTACCCGTGGCAGGGAATAGAACTCGGAATGCTGGGTTGATGTTGCGGTGTGTTAACCCCTGCGCCACTGCTCTCCCAGGAGTTTTAGTTGCTAAGATTAATTAAATATTTTTTTACGGAGTTTAACCTGACCCTGACAAAAATTTCCATCCGCTTGATGTGTTGTGCCTGTCCCGATTAGGTGGGACACAGCCTTGAGAGACGGTTTTAAACCGACTGAAACATTTGGAATCCTGGAACCAGATTGTGATACACAAGTGTCTCAAAATATCTGAATCTGGTTCAGGGCCTGGGCAGTGGCAGGGCTATTGACACATTCATTGCGTGTGACGTTCAGTTTATTGCACTGTGAGGACACGGAATCATCACGTCATTGCGCCACTGTGGCGAGATGTTAACTACCTCGCCTGGTATGCATGAGGTCGTGGGTTCGATCCCGACCCTGACGGCTCTATATTTTGAGTTTGCATGTTCTTCCCTTGGTTTTTCCCTCCACATTTAGAGTTTTTGGCTGAAATAAATTTCCATATGATAAGCTATCATTTGTGGTCAGGTTGCTTCTGAAAAAGAGCTGTAGCTTTGTTTGTCTACATGGGTGTTGACTCATTCATTGCATGTGACTTCAGTCAGTACACTGAGAACATGGCAACACCACGTCATGTACACGCATGTCGACCGTGTTATTGCATGTAACATGAGTGGCACAGCTTGACTTATGCACTGCAAGAGAAGCCCGGTGCCTTGTGAACTGCGCCGCTATGGCTCACTGCGGCCCAAGCAAGGCTCAGTTGTACATTGGTAGATGATAATAATGATAGCATGTGCTTCGGTTGTTGTCCAAACGCTTGCGTTTGCTCCCCGTGCCCTCTTCCACAGGTGGAAACCCAATGGCTGTCGTCAGCAAGCAGGTCAATATGGAGTTGGCAAAGATTAAGCAGAAGTGCCCCTTGTATGAAACGAACGGCCAGTCGGTAAGTGCAATTTGCACGGCACAGGCAGCATTCCATGCCAATTGAGAAGGAGAAATAAGCAATGGCACATTATAGTTGCGGATTTTACTTGTCAATACGTTTCACTCGTATATTATATCTTGGTTCGTAGAGCATGCTGATATGTTTGCAAGACGTACACGCATGCTGCAGATGCTGTGAAGTGGATTGGAACAAGTACAGCAAGTAGGATGCTTATTTGTGCAGAATTCGTGGCCTTCCGTTATATGTGTGGCTTATTTTCCACTATATCCAAAAATGCTCATTGAGTAATTGGTCAAACATCCCATGTTGGATCCTCCTGAAGAAGTGTATGTAAGCTCGCTCATGCTTCCTAGGGTAAATAAATAAATATACTTAATTTCAAGTAATTTTAAATCATAATTGGAATATAAGTCAGGTATTGGTGATTGTATCATTGATGGTACCAAATAGACTGATGCTGCTGGGTGATTATATTCATTGACGATGAGAGAATTGCAGATATTCCATTGAGTTTAATTATTATGGCTTGAGTGGTTGACATAATCAATATCTGCCGGCTATCACCTGATGCCCATTTTCCAAGCTCTTGAGCAAATTAATCGATTGAGCAATGCTCTCTACAGAGCTGGGATTTCCACCCCAATTTTAAAGATTTTATTTCAGAGTTGGATCTTAATTGTTTTTTTAATGGAAATATATCACGGTGTACAATTTATATTCTTTGGTCTTTCGGTAAAGTCACGTAGATAGGTTCAAAGAAAATAACAAAAAACTACGACGTTTTGATCGCAACACAAGCGATCGTCTTCAGCTTTTATCTTGCCCTTGCAGCAGAGCCTCCATTTTCACTCGATTGGATCAACGTCACAATTTATTGCAATATCTTATAAGTCGCTTGTTATGAAATATTTTCATTATTGACCGGTTTGGAATTTACGGCGTAACAAGTGACATGCCGCCTCTTTCCTGAAAGGCGAAACTCGATTTAAAAAAAAATGAGGATTTGGTTTGAATTACTTAGTCGGTTAACTCACTAAATACGGATAAATAAATGCTTACCACAATCAAAACAGCATTTCATCGTTGGGCTGTGTGCGAGTTTTTCTGTAAAATTTTACCGTAATCCTGTTTTAATATTGCATTAAGCAGTGGCTTTTCCGATGGAAAATTCCACGTATGAGTAGCTCTTCCAGGCTCGGTGCCACCTACCATGCTTGCTGCATATATATTTATTTCCATATTAAATTCTTTTTCAGCAGACGCTGGTCTGCCAGGATCAACATTTAGCTGGGGGGGGGGGGGGGTACATTTGCACGCAATAATAAAAGGCATTAGACCTTCTGCCTTTATGAACGAGTTATTGTTCATTGTACTAATCGGTCAACCCGATTAGTTGTCTTGGTTGAAATAAAAATTCAATTTGGCGAGAGTTGGCTTTTCACAAAGGATGAAAACTGTTCACGGAAAATGTATGCACGTATTATATATATATATACGGTCAGTAGGCAGATATCTTAAAAAATATATATTTCGTCGATGTTAAAGTGGAAAAATGTATTAAGAAAAGACTCGTGAAACTTTTTTTCACAAAGACTTCACAGGGGTAGTGATGCGCTTGTGATTTCCCCCCCCCCGCTCCAAATGCTGCCAAGATTGTGCAGTGCACAGTAAAACACATTCACCGATAAGAAACTGTCGGGCGCACACTGAGGACTTTGCGTTGTGCTGCCAAATTACGCTGCCCACGTCTTGAACTCTGTAGATAACGGTCGCGACCGCGGCAGTGGTCCCACCGTTGTATAAACGCTGCGTTTCCCTCTTTTGTACCGACGTGACGTTTATGCAGTCGCCGTTTCAAAACACAGTTTAAAACACACGGGTCTTTCTTTTTTTTCAGTGTGCATGTTTCTAAAGATGCATGTTCGTTAACACTCACCAGTGTGTAAAGTTGTGTGATGATTTTCTGAAACGTTTTATGTTCCGGTTGAATGCTGCTTGTGTGCATAGTGGTATATATTGCTGAATTCTGCAGTTTATTAATGCCACATTCATGTAAAGCACATTTTTTTTTTATAATTGCAAACAATGGTTGTTTAAATTAAATTTTCCGGCTCGCCTGACACTACAGATGACGCGAGTTAAATTTGTTCGTTCTAAATTAAAAGGCAGCGCTGCAGATTTTGACATGATTTCTTGTTCAGTTCACAAAAGAGGGCAACCAAGGTTCACAGTGTAACAAGAGATCGTTATTTGGAACATTGCAAAGTTGCTTGCAATTACATTGCAACGATGTGAAAATCGGTGCAATGTCCTTGTCAAATTATAATGCCAAACTGCAATTCACTGTCCATTTAATGATATTGCCAAGATTCGGTCTTGTGTGGAGTTTGTTTGCACAGCTGCATTTTTTTAGTTTGTACTTGGAATGATAATATGGTTTTGCAAATTGCCTGTTACAACGCTTGTGATTCATGTATTTCCATTTCTGTTAAGTGTAAACAACTAATGATGACTTAGTTGCTCCAACGGGAGGAAAAAAAAGGTATTCCTCAAACACAAGTGAAATATGAAAAATAAGAAAAGGTTTTTACCCTTCCTGGCAATAAAGCAGACATTAAGATGTTCAAACACCAAATAGAAATTCTAGATGTGAAGCTTTCGTGACTGCAAAGATTCATATTCTAGGTTTTTTTCGGTAAAGTCACGTAGGTAAAAAATTTAAATTAATAAAAGTTAAATAAAAAAAGAATTAAAAAATCACGACGTTTTGGAGGCAACACAAGCTTCCGTCTTCAGGTGGAACTGTCATAGCACGATAGCTGTATCACTTGATACAGCTATTGTGTGGCGTTTGTTTGAACAGCTATCGTGCTGTGACGGTTCCACCTGAAGACAGAAGCTTGTGTTGCCTCCGAAACGTCGTGATTTGTATTTTATTTTTTATTTTACTTTTATTAATACAAATTTTTTACCTACGTGACTTTACCGAAAAAACCTAAGTATAAGAATACCAAATATAAACCTGTTTTATTTGTGTGTTCACCACAAGTATGGGTGGTTAATGCAGACTTGATGACTTGCAAAAAGGTTTCAATTTGGTGTTTGAACATCTTAACACCTTATTCTTGGTTCTTTCGGTAAAGTCACGTAGAAGGGAAATAATAAAATAATAACAAGTGAAGAACAGAGCTGTCAGAAAGAGGACGGCTGCTTGCGTTGTAGCCGAGACGTCGTGAGAATTGTATTTTATTATGTTTTATTTTTATTCTTTTATTATTTCCCTTCTACGTGACTTTACCGAAAGAACCAAGAATATGAATCCCTGCAGTCACGAATGCTTTAAATCGATATCTTAACACCTGTTTTATTGCCGGAAAGGCTAAACCATTTTCTTGTTTTTCATACTTTGATACTGGCAAAAAAATATCCCATGAAAAGTGAATTATTTGTACTGTAATTTGTTATCCCTGCGAAAAGAAAAAAAAGGGGAATCGGTGCGATCTGTCGGTCGTCGGGAGCTTCCAGCGGAATGCGAAGAGGCTCTCTTTTGACTTTGACTTGTTCTGTTATTTCTCCTATGTTCGCCCTGCTCCGGGGATATTGAATTCTTGAAGGGAGAAAGATGCACTAACGTACGTATTACATTGCGATCTCTCAACAAAACAACAAGCTCAACTGTAAAAAACGCGTCAACGTGGTTGACATCTAAACAATATGGCTGTATGTCTACACTGTGTTGCATAATCGCGCTGTACCAAAAGATACTCCTGCTCTGAAAAAAAAAACTATTGCCACCAATCAGAATTGGTCCCACGCTACGTAATAATTTCTGCGTATTAATGGGTGCACCATAGCCATTACTCATGTTATAATCCATTGATTAATATGTATTATGACATAAGCATTGGCTCCTGTTTGTGAGAATTAATTGTTTACGATTTATGAAGAAATAAATGCAGGCGTACGGCGGTGGTGCAGTGGTTCGCGCAGTGCACTATGAACCAAGTGGGCGCCATGGTGCTGAGATGTTAACTACCTCGCCTGGTATACAGGATGTTGTAGGTTCGATCCCGACCCTGACGTCTGTATATTTGGAGTTTGCATGTTATCCCCATGGTTTCGTAGATTTTCCCCCGGATCCTGTGGTTTTTTTCCCTCCACATTTAGAAACATGTGTTTTAGAGTATTTGGCTGCTATAAATTTCTACGTGACAAGCCACTGCTTTGAGCTATCATTTGTGGCAAAGTCGTTTATGAAAAAGAGCGATATAGCTCAGTGGATCCTTGCCTGGTAAAATAAAAATAATATATTATAGTACAAGTGACCAGAGGTTTGATCCTGGCTACGGTCAACATCAGTGGCGAGTGATGTATGAACAGGTCTTGGGCTCACCCCTTTCACCAAACCGCGCTGCGCAGTATGGTGAAGTATCGTCAAAACATCACATGGCTGACACCACATGGGGAGGCCTTCATCCAGTAGTGGATGGGCAAGGGCTGTAAATTAAGAATTGCACATGATATACTCATGTTGTGTTTGGGCTAATGACAGACGATAAGAAAACTACAGACAAAATTGCAACGTAACAAATGGGTGAATCATTACATGCTTAATAACCAAACGTGGGAAAGGGGGGCAGGGGGCATGTGTAGGCATGGGGTTATGATTATGCTTCGGGGCTACTGATTGGTTGCAGCATTTTTTTTTTATCGGAGCAGCAGTGTTTTGCAATCTCATGCCGCTCACCATGTCTTTCTGCACGCAGATGTGACACGAGGTCGTATTCCAAGAGGTTACTCGCTTCCCAGCGACCATGTACCTGGCCCCCCACAATGTGCTTGGGCCCCAGGGTTTGTGATCGACTTAAAAAAAAAACAGTTGGAACTGAGAAAATCTGTCGCTGAGCATCCATTAATCAGCTGTTTAAGACTTATTTAAAGGTCTTCAAGAGACATTGACAAATCCCAGCAAACTACAGTAGACTCTCGATTATCCGTGCTAATGATGGGCAGGATGGCCGTGGATAATTAAAAATTGCGGATAATCAATAATATCCATTTTCTGAAAATCTCTATGCCAAAAACCACGAATATTCAATCGCCCGATCGATGAGCGTGCTCAGTGATAACACTTTCCGGCTCCCGCGCAGAAGACTGCCCGCTAAGTGGATAGCAGAGCCACGCCAATCAACGTTAATCGGACTCCACTCACTATTCAAAAGATGCAACTACTGTGCTGTAGAGGCGATCACGTGAATTTTTGATTAATCGGAGCACATATTTGTTCGGTTTAAGCACGTGACTTGTAAGAAACATTTAAAATAATAACAATGTAGAACTGTTTTTAGATGATTAATTTGGGCTTAAGGGAAAATCCATGAGTTATTAATTTATGTCAAAAGGTACGCAGTAAATCCGCAAATCGGATAAACTGCGTGGAGAACCGATAGTCTACTGCATATTGATAACCATGTATCTAAATGCCTTGATAAACTATCACAATTTTAAAAGTCCATAATATTTAGCTGCGATCAATTTATTCAAATGCGATAAAAATTGGTATCGAGGAAATGTCAGGAGTCGCATTAACAGGAGTCCGCATCTATGGACACAAACAGAGTGGAAGGAATATGTTGGCATAGCAATTGTAGAGTATGGATAAGCAGGCCACAAACATCCTCTAGGGAGGCTCTCTTAGAGTTTCCTCTAGTGGAGGCCCTTCTGCCAGCAGTGGCACAAACAAATTTGCCCAAAACGGATTTGCCACGTTTGTGAATATCTTGCTGGTATGACAGGTTTCAGTTTTGTTGCCAGAAAAAAGGGGACTGGCAAAGGAGGGCTAATGATGTAGATGCTCACCCCGAGCTCTCATTACTTTGATAGTGCATTGTATTTGAGCTGTACGCCTTTTGGCGTCCTCTGGTCGAGCACCAATTGGGTCGAGGCTCAAAAGAAAGCCGTCCCTTGGTGCGGACCAATCAGTTTCAAGGACAATGCATATATTATCATAGTATGTTTTTTGTTTGCATTTTGACTGCAAGTATTGTGGTTAATGCAGACATGAATCCTTGTAAAAAGGTTTCGGTTGCCAGAAAAAAGGGGAAAACCCCTATTATGGTATGGCAGTTCTTTCAGCGATAGTGCAACTGATCCGTGAAAGGGGGAGCATCCTCTAGACTTACGATCTCGTGGTACCTGCACAGGAAAACATTCCAAATTATGATGTCTGAGCGAGGCACGTCCCTTACTAATGCATATGTTATCGCGCTTGTGCGTTATAGCTCTCCAATGTGTTTTTGGTTTGTCCAACGTTTTTCTCCGTGTGCTGCGAGCTTCTTCTGAAGTGGGTTCCGGATGAAGCTCCCAGCACATGGAACAAATTGTTGGACATCGTGCTGAATAACATTAGGCACAAGCCGAAAACCCATCGAAGGGCAACCGTTCTATGCTGTGAGGCTGTGTTCAATCTTTAACCTGCATGTCTCCAACAACTTCCCTTCGCGCTCTGCTATCATATGGGACGTACGTGCCACACGTGTCATCCTTTCACAAGATGCAAATGCTTTGATATTTAACCAACTGATTTTTTCCATTGTGCATTCTTATCCATAATATTTGGACTCATGGTTGATTTGCCTTGTTGAGATTTAAATTTGTGTACATTTGATTTAAAGTAAATTTGGAATTATTGCATTAGTTTTGAAGGTATTGTGGAAATGTTAAGCGGCTGTTAAGAAGTAAATGGTTTGATCTGTTCCCAAGATATTTTGCACACACCTCATGTGGACCTTTAATCATCGAGTTGAGTTTGTGAAGTGGTTATTTTTGTGTACTTTCAACAACATAGAAATTCAGCTGCACCATTTAGTCTTTGCCTTTGGAATGCATTTGCCCTTAAACTTTTAACAACTTTGTTTTGCGATAGATTTAACTCGCCGGCACAGTTAATTATGCGGGGATTTTTGTTTTACAAGAATGGTAATTTGTTTTGTTTAGATTCCACCTGATCCCCTGTAAAATCTTATGGTCAATATGCAAAAAAAATCCATAAAATAATCATTTTTGGCATAACTTACTTTTCAGAAAGTATACGGATAACTTTTGGCATCTTGTTGTGCACGCGAAAGAGGCATTTATTTCAAAGCAAACGTGGCAAGTATATTTCACACATTATTGAAAGTACTTTTTATTCCTAGAATCCCAGTTGGCCTTTTGCAGGTTGCTCGTTTTACGACCGGAGCGTGCGTGTGAAATTTTGGACGGGGGGGGTTTAAACTGTGGTTATATTTACCCACGTGCATTTAAATTTCAATCCGAATCCTGCACGCTTTCCACAATACCTCACTCTGACTTTTTACTCGCTTCGAACCTTCCACCATCATGTTTGTTGTTGTTGATGTGCCCATTTCAGGCTCCCTGTTCTTCCCCCATTCGTCATCGCCGTGCGCTGTTCTTACCTCGCATTGCTTTGTAAAGAGATGATGCTCGCAGGCTGCCCTGTGTCCACTAAGCTGTCATCTCATTGCCACATTATTCGGGGGTGCATTAACAGGAGGGCACCGTCCTTCAGCTAAAGGAAATTATTTTCATTTCGTAAAGCGTAACCAGCCATGCAACCGGATAGACGTTAATTTGGATATAATGAGTCCAATTGGTAAATGTGTATTATTAGGCTGTGGTTTGGAAGGATACAGCAACACACAGCAACACACATTGACTGGTGTAGATAAGTTAAATATCTCGCCGTGACACATCGCAAAAAAAAAAACTTAAATGAGTTGCACCCTCTCGTTCCCTGTTAACCGAGCCCTCGGTAATGACGGTCACTGTAGCGCTGAAGTTTTCCCACAAAATTAGAACTCGCCGCACCACCGTTAATTTTGACAAAAAGCTAAAAGGGCGAGATTCCCCGCACGGCGGTGGTGCTCCGGCGAAGGAGCCACCGCTACATTAGCCGTCGTTTAACGACGCGTGCTGCCCGCCGCGTGGTCGCAGTGAGAAAATTCCCCCCCACCGTGATCCCAAGCAGGTGCCTAAGGAGAAGGACGAGATGGTGGAGCGGGAGTTCAACCGCCTGCTCGAGGCGACATCCTACCTGAGCCACCACCTCGACTTCAACTTCCTCAACGGAAAGCCCGTCTCCCTCGGCCAGGCCCTGGAGCTCGTGATACAGTGAGTGAGGCTGGACCTTGCGATTCAGAGGTCGTGGCCGGGACGCTTTGGTTCATGCTGCCGGCGATGGCGGCTGTTGAAACTGTGCTATAGGTTTCTTTAAATCCCTGCGCTTCTGTCCACCTGAGCGGTCAGAATGGCTACGCCGCAGTCGGTCAACTTGCAGGGGCATGTTCAGTGAGGTGAATTGTGGGTATTCCCCAAAGCTTTCGAGAAGTCTGGCCAGTGTGGAAGAGCAGGCCCAAACACCCTCCAGAGGGATTTTCTTGTAGAAACGTGTGTAGAGTAAAACCTTGGATTGCGAGCATAATTCGTTCCAGAAACTTGCTTGTAATCCAAAGCACTCGTATATCAGTTGTGATCACGTGACGCTCGGCAGACAAAGCGTATACACGTACTACTCGTATTGCAAGACCTCGCTCGTTTATCAAATTAATATTTATTTTAAAACATTACTCGTCTTGCAAAACACTTGCAGACCAAGTTACTCGCAAGCCAAGGTTTTACTGTATGTGTAACTTCTTTTGCACCGTACGTAGCCAACCGCGCTAATCAGAGGTGCGAGGGAGGCCAACAAACTCTTGGAACTTGCTTTAGTGGAGGCCCTTCCGGCAGCGGTGGCGTGAGCAGGCAATTCCAGTGCTGGCACCGTCGTTTTCCCATAATGCATTTAAACATTGCATTATTGCTTAACAATTCTGCAAGCTGCCTACGTTCAGTTGTTATCGCCTCCACCATCTGTGCGCCTCCTCTTGGGTAGTTTGTGACTAATTGTTCTATCGGTTGTGTGTTGCGAGGGGTGCGTCGAGTCTCATGTCGTTGCTTCCTGCGCGTGCCTCTTTGCACGCAGGCTACAAGAGAAGCACGTGAAAGACGAGCAGATTGAGCACTGGAAGAAGATCGTCAAGAGCCAAGAGGAGCTCAAGGACTTCCTGAACAAGGTACGAGTTGCAACTCTGCGAAATTGTCATTGCAGCACACACTGTTGTAAATGTTGTTGGCCAAATTTTATGAAAATGAACAGAATATGTATATCCTTTTATAGTGCTTCTGCACTGTTGCACTGTGCCTTGACACACGGGTAAGAAGCCTACGAGCCTTGCAGACCTGGTGAACGATACTGGATAGGGACGGTGAGAGTGAGACAACGTGGTCCTTTCACCAAACAATCCCCGCCCTCTCCACCAATGACTGACGTACCTAAACCATGGCCTGCAGTTCCCCAGTAACTGGTTCCACCAGCGACGGTGTCGGCTGGGTAGGTGCAGAAGCAGGGGGTGCTAAGAATCATTGGGTATTAACAGGGCAGCTCTCTTTTTATTACACGCTTTTTATTAACTCACTCTATCTGTTGTTGTATCCTCAAATCTTGTAACTCAATTTTTACCCACTTTCCAATGTGGTATCGACTGAAAACTTGGTATACTTATGTCATACTGATGACAATACTATATTTTATCATAAAAAAAAATATATGTTTAAAATTTTTTTTACATGTTATGTTTCGGCTTGGGTCTAATTGTCCACGCACAACTGACGTTGGCTGTAAATCACCACGGCCCCTTACGTTATGGCAAGCTTCGGGGCCACTTCCTGGAGTCATGGAGTTATTCCATTACTAGTACTGTACATTTCATTAAAGCGTTTTAAAAAAAAAGTTTTTTTAAATATTACTTATTTTGTATCTGTTATTTCAGATAAAATGCGATGGCCAATTAACATTCTGCTGTTGTGTTGCATTCGTGAATCGCACGTCCTGTTGCATTGTGCTAAAGTGGATACCTTTTAATTAGCTGGGAGCACCCATCCGATAATTAGTTTTGTACAAAATGTACTTTAACGTGGCCCATCAGCACCTCGGTAAAGTGAATGTTGCCCACTAATGTTTGAGAGTGTTCGGGGCAGTGACTTGATATGGGAACTAATTAATTCCACATTTAAATACTTGAAATGTGAGACGTGCCTTAAAAACTCCCATGGTATGTTGTAAGAGGAAATTCTCGGTTCGGAAGTGGTTCTTTCTGCCCAGGACACGTCGGGAACACAGAAGAATGTTACATTTCTCTTAAGAACATTCCCTTTCCCAGTTGGCTCTGAAGGGAAAAGTAGACTTTGTGCTTGGGCAATAATAATGTGCTTTTGTACTAAATTGTAAGTTCTATTTTAATGCTTCATACTGGATTTGACGTGACACATAATTGAAGGAAAATCATCCTTGACCAATGTTGCCCGGCTCTTAACATGCGTACACGTATAGACGCTGCGCATAAAGCATTGCGTGTCAACCGCTGCTTGTGTTCAGATGTGCTCGCTCACATCACTTGCCGCAACGATCTGTTAAAGGCTATACCGTGGGGGGGGTCTTTGTCTTTGTGTTCAGATGGTGACCTTGAAGGAGCGCATTAAGGAGCTGCACCAGCAGCAGAAGGAGGCCTCTGAGGTGAAGCCCCCGCGAGACGTCACCGCCGAGTTCCTCGTCAAGAGCAAGCTACGCGACCTCAACGCCGCCTGCAGGGTACGTCCGTACGCCAGGGCGGTGGTTGCCACATCTCCCCCCACCGACTCCACCCCGACCCCACCCCGCCCCCGCTCGGTCGCCGCATTGCGCGCTTTCGGATGCACTTCTCTGCGGGCCGTCTGGAACGCTCTTGCTTTCGATATTAGGAAGCCGTTGGGAGCTATGCACTTTTAAATCATCTAGATTGAAAACGCATTGCTTGAAAGCTGCTTTTTGTGTTTAGTTTGGTTGTTCCTCACCTCCGATTAGCACGGTTGGCTACGTACTGTGCGAAAGAAGCTCAACCTGCATGCGTACACTCCTCAAAGGAAGATGTAACCCAAAAATAGATGCCTCACGTGTGTTAGAAAACGTGCCTGCTCAAATGACCGTACGATACGTGCCTCTGTACAAATCGCCTCGTGCGATCCCATTAGATCTCGAGCTAAGTGGTGTTGAGCTTGGATAGTGCTTGAGCCGGTGCTGTTGGCTGTGGTGCTACTTGGTAGGCAGCAGAGGGCAGTGCAGCAAATTCTGTTTGTACACTACTTCTCCGCTCCCGCATTGATGCTATCCCCTGCCATAGCCAACCCACACTGACCAGTGTGGTGAAGTCTGGTCAAAATAACTCCCGTGACCTGCACAGCGTGGCCCTTATCTGCCACAGTTGATTGACAAGGATTCTACGGGTATATAATACCATCTGTTTTGGGCTGTGTATTCCATGTAACAACCATCTGTGCTCTTCCGTTGTATAGATGTTGCGTGACTTGGCATTAGGCGCTCGCGTATGTGGAATGATGCTAACATTGCAGGTTGTCTCCGCTCGTTTCTCTGCAGGAATATGACGAGTTGGCCGAGTCGCAAATCAAGTTGGAAGAGAAGCTGCAGGAGTTGGAGGCAAACCCACCAAGGTAGTGTAATTTCAGGGCCCAAGGTCAACATTTACCAAAAGCGAAAATCTCTTCTGTCTCTACACATAAATAAAATGTCCATCAGTCTTGTGTCTTTTCAAACCAATATTAATAAGCAGCATTTGTCCGGTCTACAGTTTTGCATGAGTTTTGCTTTCTTGATTGTACAAATGCTGTTTTATAACATTGGTATGGAAAGCCAACAGGCTGATGGACTAAAACATTTATTGTATTTGTGCAGCGACAGAGCAGAAATTTGCTCACATGCGCTATTACCCATATTTCTTCGCAACACACGGTATTAACAAAAAGGGCCTGCTTGCTAAACGAGCTCCGAGCGATGCTTTTTGTGGCCATTGCGTAATAGTTCCAGCTAGTTGTAATCAGTATGCGTATGATGGGTCTAAGTTTGTGTCTCCGCAGCGACGTGTACTTGTCTTCACGGGACCGTCAGATTCTGGACTGGCACTTCGCTAACTTGGAATTTGCGAATGCGACCCCACTGTCTACGCTGTCTCTGAAGCACTGGGACCAGGTAAGTGACATCATCGTCCTCATCATCATCGTCATCATCATCATCACCTATGCCTGTCAACCCTGTCCATCTTTGTCCTTTGCAGTCTTTGTCAGGCTCTGTGTGCCCATTTATTAGTCCAAGCTATCAAATTTGCCATCCAATTGATCTTGGGTTGTCCCCTTATTGCTTTGTTATTTCTATCATGTTCTGTAAGGTACTATTGGATAAGTCCCCATTTTCTTGTCAATTGTCCAAACATTTGCAATTTGTACGTAGACAATAATTCATTGATTCAAATGGAACTTAGCTTCACAGTGCATGAATACATGTATGCATGTAAACATAATTAATATATGTTCTATCAATCTTGATTTGAAGCTTTCGTGACTGCAGGAATCCATACTCTTTGGTTCTTTCGGTGAAGCCACATGGGTAGGAAAAGTAAAAATAATAGATCACGACGTTTTGATCGCAACGCAAGCAATCATCATCAGGCGATTGCTTGCATTGCGATCGAAACGTCGTGATCTATTATTTTTTCTACCTACGTGACTTTACCGAAAGAACCAAAGCTATTCTCTATCCTTTTCCCCTATTGTGCCCTGACGTGTAAATGCACTTTCGGTGCGTTTGTACGGCGCGTTGAGATGCCGTGGCATTTTAAGCGGCAAACAAGTAAAAAATGCTCGTGCTTTAATTGTTAAAGGAAGATCCGCGTCTATAATTTCAGGACGATGATTTTGAGTTCTCTGGGAGCCACCTGACGGTGCGGAATGGCTACTCGTGCGTCCCGGTGGCGCTGGCCGAGGGACTTGACATCAAACTGAACACCGCCGTGCGCCAAGTCAAGTACACCCCGGCCGGTGAGAGCCCGCTCGCTCGCTCACGTGTTGGCTAGGAGATGTTGACTCCCGGGCCCGGTATGCAAGGAGGTCGTGGGTTCGATCCCGACCCTTGACGCCTGCTGTATATTTGGATTTTGCGTGTTCCTCCCTGTGGCTGCTTGGATTTTTCTCCGGGTCCTCTGGTTTTCCCTCCACATTTAGAATCGACGTACGTTGAGAGTATTTGGCTGCTATAAATTTGCACGTGATAAGCCACTTCTGTGAGCTATCATTTGTGGCCAGGTGGCTTCTGTAAAAGGGCTATATAGCTCAGTGGGCCTTACCTAATAAAATAAAAAGTTTAGTTAAAAATAGTTTAGCTTCACGCACTCGCTCGCTCCCACTCGATCTCACTCATCTACAAGCGCACGCGAGCCAAGCAGACTTATGCCGCAACACATTATTAAGCGACTTTTCCAATATTGTGCATCGGCGCCACGTTACAGAGGCGGGACTGACAGAGCTAACGCGTTCACGCTTTCAACCCAAGTTTCAAAGGGTTAAGAAAAAAAATGGAGGCACTGGCTTTCCGTCTGCAATGGGCGCAATGAGGTCCACTGTCATTGCCATCTCTCTCGCGGTCCTGTGATGGAACAATCAACCGGGCCACCTGAAAATGAGCCGACTTCATTGGAGGGAGGTCGTCTCGGGGCGCAAGTGCCTCCTTCGGCCACTACTCCGTTGTTATTCTCGCCCATCGTTACTCCGAGCGACATGTCCTGCCTCAAGTAAATTGTGTACAGGCACAAATAATAATAACACAGCCTTTTAATAACATGAGGCTGACGTTTTGGGCATCAGTCCTTGCTTGGGGCAACATGGCCAGCAGAGAGATTGACAGCCTTTATAGTTGGAGATTGTACTTTGGGGCCCTGAGAAAACTGGCTAAACTTTAAATAAGGTTAACATTTTGACAGTTTTGAATTTACATATGAGCAGTTTTATTTCAGTAGACCTCAAGTATCGAACGGACCGTGAGAAGGTAAGAAATATATGCATTCATTCAATTAAAAAGTTAAATGATTGTATTGTAACGTACAACCGCATCTTGATAAAAACAGAAAACAGTTACTGCCACTGACCTCATTGTTAATTACAATTAGTTCATACCTAACCAAATATCTTTAGCATATGAATCGTGATTGTGGAAACAAGCCTCCGTTATTTCAGCCTTGACTTGATGAACGTCCTTCGTTGCTTAACCTCGTGTTCAAAAGCAAAGTGTGTATGCCTGTCATCGTTTCCGAGACCCCGACACGAGCAATGAACCCTTTTGAGTTTAATTTCAGCAGCCGGTCAGGGCAACCCACATTGTCAGCGCACTTGTTTCTTGCTCATTCTTCATCTGATATTCCCTTTGACACAGCATGGACCCCCCCCCCCCCACCACTCGCCCCCCCCCCCCCCCCCCCACCACCTGCCCCCTAACGGCATGTTGCATTTGCAACGATCTGAAAATATTAATTTGAAGTGCGGTCGTTCTTGCTGTGAGCTAATATGCTGATCTCATCGTTAAAGCAAAATGAGTAATTAAGCTAGACGAGCGCGGGTGTCTGCTGACCCCTATTGTAATGCTAAGCAAATGCAGTGATGGCATTTTCATTGCTAACGCGGTAAAATTTACATTAAGTGAAGAAAAGGCTGTGAGTGGCCTCTGTGCTAATTAGCTTAGCCCCCCCCATCATTATGCTATTCAGTATTTTTTATTTTATATTCCATTGGATTAATCTTGTGAAACTTTCACTGTGACAATAGCTTGCCACTATAGCTTTGCAAGAGGACACGGCCTGCAGGTCACCTCTACCGTCATCCCACTGTAATGCAAACTCCTGGTGATTGATGCATGGGAAGAATTTGGTAGCAAAGTGGTCATTAAGCTTACTGCTAAGCTTAAGTCTACACCAAGGTGATGATCATATTCCTGCTGCTGCTGCTGCTCAGATACCAGGTGTTATCATGGGCAAAACATTCTCCAAATATAAAATAATCCATAACTAAGTTGGTGATGACATTGGGGGAGGCCTTCATCCAGCAGCTTATGATGATGAAGTTGTGGAACATGTTTCAACAATATTGAGATAACACAGCTTTGCATTTGTAGACCTTTCCCTCTTTAAATACCTTTATGGGTAATGTATAAGCAGTGCTTATATTGTGAGATTGGGCCCCTAGGTCGACTCAGCCTCAAATGAGTACCTGGTGCGGTGTTTAAAAACATCGCCACCACGGAGACAAAGGCGGTCGGGTGTGGTGTTGGCCACCCACCCCCTCGTGTGCCGTGCCGGCCTTCATCGGTGCCCACTAACAGCACTTGCCCCCGACACAGTCTGTTTAGGCTATAATGAGAATCTTTTGTGTGTGTGTGTGCGCGTGCGCGTGTACGTGTGTGTGTGTGTCCCCTGTGTGTAGGCTGCGAGGTGCTGACTCAGCACACGCGCTCCAGCTCGCAGAGCCTCATTTACAAGTGCGACGCCGTGCTGTGCACTCTGCCGCTCGGAGTGTTGAAGCAGCAGCCCCCGGCCGTGCAGTTCTTCCCCCCTCTGCCCGAGTGGAAAACCACCGCCATCCAACGCATGGGCTTCGGCAACCTCAACAAGGCACGCCGCCCCGCTCTCTTGGCCGTTGGTGTTTGCGTTGTTTGTGGCGTTGTTAGTTGTCGTTTTGATATCTATTTTTTTGGCAGGCCGGCTGAGTGGATAGTGCACATGGTGGGTCTTGTCGAGCTAGGCAGGATTTTAAACCGGGGTAAAGCTTGGATTGGCAACCATCATGCATCAAACAGTTGTTGTGGGCTGTTTTACAGGACTTGGTATTTCTGACCTGGGGCACTGTGGTGGCGAGATGTTAACTACTTTGCCTGGTATACAGGAGGTCGTGAGTTCGATTACAACCCTGATGCCTGTATATTTGGAGTGTGCGTGTTCTTCCTGTGTTCACATGGATTTTTCTCTGGTTCCTCAGGTTTTTTCCTCTACATTTTAAAACATGCGTTTACAGTGTTTAGCTGCTATAAACTTCCACATGATAAGCCACTTGGTTGAGTGAGCTATCATTTTTTGGCCAGGTTCGCGTCTGTAAAAGAGCTATGTAGCTCAGTGTGCCTTCGTAAAATAAAATAAAAACATTTTAGTATTTTGACTTGGGACAGTGCAGCATAAGCCATAGTTGAACTCTCTTATTGCTCTCTCCGTTCACCAACCTACACTAAGCAGTGGGTGACGACTTAGTTAAAAAAAAACACAGTGCAGGCTAAAGCCCTCGTCCAGTAGTGGATGACGAAAGGCATGTGCATGTAGACACATACGTAGGTAGCAGCTTCACTATTCACACTCGGCTGCCAACTTGCTTGGAATAAACCTGGGGCCCCACCTCTTGCCTCCGGTTGTTGCCCGCAGGTGGTGCTGTGTTTTGACCGCGTGTTCTGGGACCTGAACGTCAACTTGTTTGGCCACGTGGGAAGCACGACAGCCAGCCGGGGAGAGCTGTTCCTCTTCTGGAACCTTTACAAAGGTATTGTGCCTGCGAGGGGGAGGAGTGGGAGGAGGCCACTGAGTTATGTACACTGAGCACATGTGCCGTATTAGTAAGTGCCTCCGGAGAATAGAGGCGCTCGACTCGGCCTAAGGAACACAGTTGTTACGTAACCAACATCGAACCCAGACACACGCGCGCTGGCTGCCAATGTTATTTGCCAACGTTGGTATTTGTGCGCATTACTGTGAAATGTGTCCGCTAACCGCACTGCCCGAGTGTAACAAGTGAGTGTTTTAAGCGAGCACAATGCATGCCACTGTAAATAGGCATTGGACAAAGCTGTAGTGGCCTCTAGCCCCCCTCCCCCCTCGTTCCGACAGATGTTGAGCAGTTTTTTTCCCCTGAGTTGCTCTTCGATTGCCGCAATCGACGTACATTGCAAACACTTTGAAGATAATCATTCGTAAAATCATGAAGTGACTAATTACTTGGGTATAGACTTCACCGATGAGGACGTTAAATTTAGAGAGACATTATCTGATCAACTTTGGTGGTAAGGAAGAAATGCTCACAAAATGCTACGGCGGCGTTGGATGTACTTAGCCTGATATTTTTTGTGTTATCCACGCTGGGATGGTGATTGGTGATGGTGCATTCAGTTTTGTGTACACTTGTCAAAGAATTAAGCACCTTCCGTGAATCAATGGCACGCTGATTTATCATCAGTTCCATATGCCCTGATGGAATTGATGATAAATCAATGCGGCGGTGCGTGCCCAGCACTCTGCAATCAGTAACAGTAACGACGAGACCCTGACCCGTCTTTTTCTCCAACGCCCCCCCCCGCCCCCCCTCGGCCCCCCGCAGCGCCCATCCTGTTGGCGCTGGTGGCCGGGGAAGCCGCTGGCATCATGGAGAACGTGAGCGACGACGTAATCGTGGCTCGGGCGATGGCTGTGCTCAAAGGAATCTTCGGCAGCAGCGCCGTACCGCAGGTACACGCCCCGTCCGGGAGTCTAACCCAGCCCTCGGCAACGATGGGGAGAAGGGAAGGTATCGCAACGAACCCTCGTACCCAGCCTTTATTAAATATTGGGCTCATTTAGAAGTGGGGTGCCTCCCCCACCCCCTGGTATATCTGTGTCTCAGCAGGGAGCATAGACGTGTGAACGTAGCATTACAGTCTAAAGATGATTTACATCTTACTGCTGCCCTCTGCTATTCACCAGACTGCCCCGCAGTCCACATCCTGTCACACCCGTCATGCACGGTGCCCATCTTCCGAGATCTGATGAAACCCGGGCGCATTCCGGACAATTTGTTGTAAGGCTCCCTCCCAAGGATGCCCCTCCTAAAAGAAAAAAGTCTTTCACCCTCTGTCCCACGTAATTACGACTCTCCGCAGCGATGTGTCGACCTCGGCTAGACGGCGTGCATGTGTGTGACCCTGCATCCGCTTACCGTGCCGTCGATTTCCGTTGGACGCCGCAGCCGAAGGAGACTGTGGTGACGCGGTGGCGTGCGGACCCATGGGCACGCGGCTCCTACTCCTACGTGGCTGCCGGGTCCAACGGAAATGACTACGACCTCATGGCGCAACCCATCGCCCCGCCGCCCTCCCTGCCCGGCAGTCCACAGGTGAGCGTCTCTCAAGGGGGTTATGGGTGTGGGTGGGTCGGGCGGTGTCGATCGGATGTTTTGTCGAGGTCCGTTTAACCGTGACGGGCTGGTTCGTCGAGACGATGTTTTACTCTGTGGGGGTTTGATGGTCAGGTGAGAGCAGGGGCGGCTGTGGGGCCTGCATGGACTGATAGTTGTCTTTCCTGGGCATAGATCTTAAAGAAATTGAGCACACAAACCGGATGTTTTTGCATGGTCTGCTTATTGATGGAAGGGTGTGTGTCTATCAGTTAACGGCTTTCAATCTCGCTTGAAATAAGTAAATAAATGCATAATGGTGCATAGTTTAGAAATTTTACCACGAAGGCTCAGTTATCATGTCTGTCAATTAGCATAATTAAAGAATGTACTTTATATAATGAGCATGTTAGGGAAATTAGTTTTGCACAATGGAAAAATTATCGGGCAAAACACAGCTTATTTAGGGTGGCATAGAATTCAAACTATTGTTAATTTATGCTGTTGCCTCCCTCTTGCCCCCCATCCATTTAAATACATATTTTCATAGCCAGTTGCAGGGAACACCTAAGTATGTTTCCCTCCACTGCTGCTGCAATGCTTAAACACATTCCTGCGGAGGGAGCTGGTAGGAACGTTGGGTTGCTCGGTCAATGGCCAGGGTCAACGGTGGCGTGGTGTATTCCTCAAATATGCCCGACTGTGAGGGGGCGGGCACAAGCCGGCGTGAGTAGGTTAAACGTTGACAGCTCCTCCCCACCCAGCCCCACCCCTCCCACCCCCCATCCAGCCCCTCCCCACCCTCCCCCTCCCCTCTCCACCCAGCCCCTCCCATTTTTGGATGCACGACGGACGGACACAATAATCTCCTGTGGGCTGGTGGAACCAGGTGGTTCCTACCAGTATCAACGGGCAAGGGAAATGACACCTACATCGTTTATGCAACCGGCCGCTGGTTTATTATCGGGTGGATATGCAAGTTGCTGAATGTCCGGATACTGATGTTCATCATTATTTATCATTGTTTCCTAAATCAATGGACTTAACCTTCCCCTCCCTCCCTCCCTCTCGACCTTTTGTTGTGCAGCCGATACACCGGCTCTTCTTTGCTGGGGAGCACACGATCAGGAACTACCCGGCCACGGTGCACGGAGCACTGCTCAGCGGCCTGCGGGAGGCCGGTCGCATCGCCGACCAGTTCCTGGGCGCCCCTTACACTCCTCCGCGCACGCCAACCACGCAGTGACGCCCCGCCAGCGCGCACCACCACGTGTTACTTGGCCCTCGCTCGCTCGGGAAAACCGGGTCCCTATCGGCGCGACACACCGCTGACGGATTCGAGAACATGCTGGCACGTGCCACGGTTGGCAAGGGTTGAGACTCAGGTTGACGCTTAGGTTAGACAAGGAGGGCAACGGGGGAGAGGGAACAGCTGTGCTGCCTCGCGGCTTTCACCGTGCACGCTCTAAAGAGAAAATAGATGATGGAATTGTTTCGTTTTTACTACTGGGATGGTGTGGTGTTAAAGCTGCTTGTACTGCCTGCATTGTGACCCCACTCGCCCCTGCCACTTATGAGAACATGTGCGAATGCAAATTGACCCCCCCCCCCCCAAATGCCCCCGAAAAATAATGTTCTTGCCATTGCATTGTAACGTGTGGAATGCACAATGAAAATTACATGAATAAGAAAAGTGAATTATTAATGTATATTAGGTTTCTTTGCTAAGTCAAATGAAATATGCCTCACTTACAAATGTCGGGCAACCAAACACTTGGTGAACCTGCAAGGTCAAAGCAAAATATAATTTCACATTTCATATGATTGTGCATCCATGGTGTATGCGATGCTGAGCAAAATTATTTTTGACCTTTAACTTGTATGTGTGTCTGTCTTGTCCAGGAAGAGCAATGTGTTTTTTTTTACCTTTTGTATGTCAAAACTTTGAGGCGGTAGAAAGCGTTGGCCAGATGCAGTGGCGTCCTCCGGCCGTGTTTGGCCACGATCTTGGGAGACTTTTGTGGAGGTGCAGTGAATTGCCATCCAAAGTAACATTTTCGTAAGGTTCAACACACACACGGACGGACCTCAAAAACCCATGATTTGGTCCATAGCTGTCTTTACTGGGCAGGAGAACCACGACATGTAAACATTACATATGCCTTATCGTATAACATTTACATACAGACGGTCACGTATGAATGTAACGCCGCAGATTTGGGTCAACGATATCCCGGTTTGATAGCAAGGTAAAGCACAGGTGTTTGAAACGAAGACCCAAGTCGGTGGGGAAGCAGTAAAAGTTTCAATGAGTTTAGCAAACCAACAAATATCGGCTGCTTCTATACACAGAGGCAAAGATACCGAGCAAACGCCACATGTTCAAGACAATTAAATTAACATTTACTGTTGTACGAAATTCTGAGTGGACGTAAATAATTGCATTACTTGAGACCCTTGCTCTTGATCGCAAAAGAATTCTAATAAACCGCTCCAAGATAAAAGCCCATTATTTTTTTAAAGTTTCACCTTTTCATCAGTTAACTGGCAAATCCCATGTTTTTACAATAAAAAACAGTCCTCATTTGATTTGGTGAATAAGAAAACGCCTTTTGTTTAGTGAATTATAATTGGCCCTTTACCACACGACGCATGATTTTATTTTCGTCGCGATTAAGTGAGGGCAAAGTTGTAGAAATTATTCTGTGTTGCCTCGGATGTGCAAAGCTGTTTGACAAAATTTGAATCGATGGCCCGACACCCCGTCTCAGTTGCAGCTGCGTCTGGTACACTTTCATTTCAATATTGATGACAGTCTGGGGTTTTCTTGCCTTGATACAAAACATCACACTTGGCTTTGCACCATCGACCATTATTCTTTAACCAGCACACCCCTTAAAGCATTCAATGTATATATTTTTTTTGATATTGAGAGCTAACTTTTTTCATTCATTTTCAATTATCGGAGCTGGAATTTTCTGTTTCAAGTTAGAACAACCATTTTTGGCACCGACTTGTGGCAGAATTGTTGTATATATTTTATAAAATGTTAAAAGAATAAAAAAATGAAATGGAAAGTTTGTGAAGTGGTTTATATCTGGGAAACTTATCATTTAATCATGCCAGATTTCTTTTTGCCAAACAGCAAAGTTATTTGGCATCTACTGTGTCTTGGGTGGGGGGGGGACTTTATATATACACAATCTGTTCCATATTACTCTGCACCATAGCTCTGGTTCCTCGCGTTTCAATGTACCGAATCCTCGTTTTGAAACTTGTTTTCCATATTTCTCTCCAGTGCGCGCAGTCCCAGGACAAACACGGTAGATACACAAAATAAACTGGAACTGTTTGGCTTTGTAGTCATGACAAATACACAACATCTTGTCTGTACGTTGGTTAGAGAAGACTATCGTTAAACATTTTACCAAAGCTAAGTGTCTGAACATGCCACCACCCATTGCACATTTGTACATTAGAAATCTCTATGCATGATGAACTTTGCCGTTTTGTGAGTTGAGACCACATGGGTCTGGTATTACATGTGTCGTGAGAGCGTGGCCAGTGCATAACACCAGGGCCCTTCCCGTGACCTTCCAGCGAGCCTTTTGACAGTTGGCGTGGCGTCAAAGGGCACCCAATTTTGTCACAAGCGACACAGGTGAGGCCAACGCTGCTTGGTGGCCAATGGTTGTTGGCTGTCCGCCGTCGGTGTTTATATGAACAGCGCTCGCCCCACCGACCCGAAATTACGGATGATCTTTCCATGGGAACTGCAAGGTGAAGACGGGTGGTGTGGACCATGTACTCCCAGGAGAGAGAGAGATGCACTTGGTTCCGGTGGTGGGTCCACACGTTAAACAATATCGTAGCATTGCTGTCTGCATTAAATTACTTCCAAGTGTACGCAGGAATGTACTGTTTTGCCGGAGCGACTGCCCGGTGTTAACTTCGAATTTTATTTCAAGTCATTAAGTCAAAGAACGTGATGGAACTGTCGGGCGAGCCATGGTCCTGTGGATTTCATTGAGCAATTCCCTTCGTCTGGTTGACTAAAAGCAGTCAAAAATGTCATCCACTGTTCGTAAAATTTTGCTCCCCCTCGCATTTAATATCTGCTTAGCCAATCAGTAGTGACACCTTACGTACAAATATAGCCAATTGCCATTTTTGGTCGTCCTCGTTACACCTCTGTCCCTAAAAACGTTGGTCAATAATCTCGGGTGCCCGGTGGATAGTCGTCGTCATCGTCCCGCTTCGACTTGTAAGTCAGCGTCGACTAAAAATAAAAAAAACAAATACTGAATTGACAAACATTTCCACCGCTAATCTCTTGTCAACTGTAATGCCGATCTCCTTTTCCTGGGCGCATTCGGTGCATGCCGCAATCGTGCTGTTGGTGGGTGTGGCAGGCCGGGAGAATTGCCGTGGTGAGCGACAACAACAACAATAAAAGTCTCGATAGCAAAAGCGAAATGCCCTTTCAACAGCCAAGCATGTCCGTAGCTGTCAACCCCTTATCAGTGCCCTACCTTATTACACACCAATTCAGACATTATTGGGTCACCCCGTGCCCTTATACATCTCAAAGTTCATCCTACAAAGTCCCATCACAAGGGAGAAACACAAATATAGATTTATTTTTTTAAATGTGCCCGTATTAAAACGGCTGTACGCCGTATGGACCTGAAAACCCAATTCCCCTGTACAAGAACACGGGTACACCGTATGGGTTGACAGCTATGCATGCCCTCCCACCGCTCGTGGCTGTCTCAATATCTGCAGGCCCGACTGAGTGTGAAGCAGTGTAATTACATTGATTTTGTGCGTGTGTGTGTGTTGGTGCTCGCTAACAGCACTTGCCCCAACAGTCTGTTCAGGCTCCACGGGGGATCTTTGTTCTGTCTTTGTTTAGATTAAGTGTTGCCCTTCCCCCGCACCTTCCATTAGCACGTTTGGCTACGGCATGGTACATGCATGCTGAATCGGTATTCCCCCCCCCCCCCCGAGCGGGTTGTTTAAATTTCCTGCACATTTCTTTTTTCTTTAACGACGGTGACAACTGCACCTTATGGCGGGATACCGTGGTCCCGAATAAACGGAAGTCAAAATCGTAATTAATTTATTGATTTTTGGCGACTCCGTCCCACCGCGCACAACAAACGCCGCGACCCGCCTGGCGCGGATCATTCAGTTGTGTCGTGTCGTCCTAGCGCAGCAGGCGAGGACGAATACGCAGAAGAAACACAACTTTGATTAGCGCACCGTGTCGAGCTCGTCGAGAGGAATAGATCGTCGTGTCGTCCGCCTTCAACAGACATACAATGACGTCGCAACGCAGTTTATGCGAGAGCCGGGGGCTTATGGGACCCCGGGGTTCATCTGGCACGGGACACGAATCCGACTTTGGGCTCTTGGACCCTTTGAGTGTGGCCGAAGCAGAATTGGGTCGTTGCTCTGCGGCCACCACAGTTGCTTCTTTGCCATTGCTTCTCCCCTTGGGCCCCCATGACCAAACCTGTCCCATCACCACCTTCGAATTCCCTTGGTTCTGCGATCGCAATTTTTATGGCAAGCGAAGTAAGACTTAGGAGGGGTGGAAAAACTGATACTCCTGGAAACGTAGCAAGAAAACGAAGATTACACAGTACCTGGTTCTAAGTAGTTTCATTAAAATTATCGTATATATATTTATTTCATAGCCAATTTTCATTTAAAGCTTTTATAAAAAGCATTCATAATATGCAGTCAACGAATGTCTCTTGCAAGGTTTGCATTTCCCAAAATATGTAAATTGTGCTTTATAAGTAAATATCTTCCGTGAAATAATTATAATAATCCGTGATACTTGAACGTTCTTACATCCGTCAGAAGAGCAAATTGAGTAGCCGCCATTCTACACGGAAACTCTTCATCACCATCCCCACTCACACACTCACCACTCACCCCACTCACTCACCACTCACACACTCACCCACTCACTCACCAACCCCACTCACTCACACACTCACCACTCATTCACCCCACTCACTCACCACTCACCCCACTCACTCACCACTCACACACTCACCCACTCACTCACACACTCACCCACTCACTCACACACTCACCCCACTCACCAACCCCACTCACTCACACTCACCACTCACAAACTCACCCCACTCACACACTCACCCCACTCACTCCACTCACTCACCAACCCCACTCTCACTCACCACTCACACACACCCCTCTCACACACTCGCTCACACACTCACCATTCTCACTCTCACACTCCCCACTTGCACACCCACCTCTCCCACTCACCAACCCCACTCACACACTCACCCCATCGGCACATCAACTCCAGACTGACAGCATCTACACACATTGCACTTCCACACCACGCAGAGTTACGTTGCAAATAACAGCCCTTAATCCACCTCCGAATGATGGCCTCCCCATGCCATGTGGGCTGTAGCATGGGTGAGGAGGGGGGTTAATTGACCATACTTCACCACGCTGGTTCAGTACGGGTTGAGCATAAAATCACGGCGCAGCGATGGCTTTTTGCTGCACTACCCTCTGCTGCCCACCACACATCCCTGAAGCCGATGTCAACCAGCCTTTTGCACAGTGGTCACCCGTCCAAGCACTGTCCAGCGCTCAAACCAGCTTAGCTTCTGACATCGGGCACATTCTGGGCGATTTGGTCGACGGCGCAAATTGCATCGCCGTCACAATTTATAATCTGAGCCACACCGGCGCACAACTGACTTTGCCGGCAAATTACGCCGTGACGTACTCTTTTTTTTTCCCCCCAACAGACAATGACGCACTTTGGTAATTATTTCCATCCCGACAAAGAACCGGGTGGCTTCTGTGCTGGCTTTGATGTGTGGGCATGGCGAGCTGGGCTGTGGGGCTAGGCGGGTGCAGGGCCCACCGTTTTACTCGCCGCTGGAGTTTGTTAATTACAACGTTAAAATATTTCACAACGGGAGCACATTCCACTTGGGCCTCATCGCTAGGGGATTGGTCGCCCAGGATAAACGGAACTGAAGTCCGTGTGACACGCCTTCAAAGAAATAACATGCGGGGACAAGGATGGGAGATATTAACTACCTCGCCTCGTATGCAGGAGGTTGTGGGTTCGATACCGACCATGACGTCTGCTGTATATTTGGAGTTTGCAGGTCTCTCTCCCTGTGGTCGTGTGGAATTTTCTCCGGGTCCTCCAGGCCCCCCCCCCCCCCCCACCCTGTATTTAGAATCACACGTTTAGAGTATTTGGCTGCTATACATTTCCATGTGATAAGCCACTTCGTTGAGCTATAATTTGTGGCCTGGTCGCATCTGAAAAAGAGTTGGTTAGCTCATAGGGCCTTACCGGGTAAAATATTAAATAGTTTAGTTTTATTTGAGTCTATTAGGATGGTGAATTAATATGCATGATGGTGTCAGCGTGAGTATTGAATCCCTTTGAACAATGTTTTTCATAACGAACACCAAATGCACAACTTAATCTGCTCAATTCAGGATGTAAGATCAACGGATTTCTTTTTTCAGAGATGTGATTGCCCGCCATAATCGACAGACGTCATGACCACGGCACGTCAGCAAAGAATCTCTGATGAGTTAAAATTCAAAATACCACTCATAGAGTGTCGTAAAACTTAGCGAAACTAACATCGGTAAATAATCACTTTCATAACTGTATAGGCTTTTTTTTCATCTCAGGCTTCTTAAATATGTTCGCATCATCACACAAAGCGAAAGCCACCCACGATTGAAATAGCTCGCAAATACCACTCGCTCGTCACTCCAGTATATGTACACCAAATTAACCCATCTATTCTGTGCAGAACATAAAACAAAACGCAAATGTGTCCCGGCGGAACGGACTCGGCGGTCAGCGCCGGTAGTTCTCCCGCAGCCACTGCGAGACATCCACGTCCACGTTGGTGTCACCTTCCTTCCCCCCATCCTCGTTTAACGTGCGCAGGACCAAAGCCCCGTGCGCCACGGGCGGCGTTCGGCTGCCCGTGCCCTCTCCTACGCCGCCGCTTTCCCTCGCCGAGTCCTGGCCCTCGTGGGCACGGGCCTCGGGCGCCGCTGCCTCCTCCGTCGCCGCCTCTCCTCCTCCTCCTCCCACCGCCGCCGCCGCCGTCGTTGCCGCCGCCGTCCCCCCTGCGGCCACCGCGGCCGTCTCGTCGGCGAAGAGGCGCGTCGCCCCGGGGGGCAACGTGACGTCTTGTGGCCTGGGCCGCCGCGGCACCCTGAGGCCCAGCTTGCGCTTGAGCAGGTGGAACTGGTCGCGCACGAAGTAGTAGAAGTCGTACTCGTAGCCGAGCCTCTGGTACAGCACTTGCAGGGCGCGCCGCGACGGCAGCTGCTTCTTGAGGGAGCTCGTGCCGTTGCCCAGGCCGAAGTAGTCTGCGGACGGTGGTGGTGGTGGGGGGGGGGGGGACACGAAATGTCAAACGGGCGGCACGGTTATAGCAGCGGACCCGCTTGGGCATCGAGGGCACGCTCGCGCGAGGTGCTCTCGTCGCTGCACCCGGTGTAAGCAAATCGCCATCGACCACGATCAGGTCCCCCTCCCCCCCCCAAGCTGTCCCCCACCTCTCTCGATCCTGCGATGTAATTGTCCACCTAGCATCAACGCACGAGCCAATTGATCGTCTTCTCGGATGATTCACATTCTTTGGCTGCCATCGTTGCTTGACCAGTGGCCAAGCCCGCCTTCCTTAACAGTTTGAATGATGTCTAATGAACTTGTATAGGTTCTCTAAATCCACGTGTTTCCTTTTCGGTCTCTGTGTTTTTTTTTCTAAAGCATGCATCTCTCCATTGGTTTTTTGCAAACATTTCCGTTTTGTGTTTGTTCCACGCCTTTTTTGTGAACGATCGCGGTGTTTACGAGCCGTGAGTCGACAACTTGTACGACTTTAGATGAAGGGAAACGACATTTTTTTCTCCACCGCTTTGGGCACTTGGAACACTTAATCATGCACAAGCTGAAAATACTTTGCCTCCGCCATCATTAACAATTTGCCACGGTTATGAAACATCGCACGATTAATGACGGCAGAGATAAATCGAGGCATGTCCTGGAAAGGCCTGATAACCTCCAAAACCTCGTTGTCCCTGAAAGCAGGCCACGACTGAATATGCAGATTACGTTTATAAAAGAGATCAAGTGAACGATTAAGTCTGCTGCATGTGGCCATCTATGTGAAGTGGATACCACAACAGCTATCAGAAGTGGATTGCAATGTGTTCAAATTCATCGAGCATGGGTTATCCTAAAATAATAATTGCATACGTGAGTTTTCCACCTTTCTCGTGTATCAATTATTTTCAGCACGTTGTCTACGTTGCTATTCCCTCTAATCCTTACCCAGTCTATCGAAAGATCTGGAATAATAAAAAAACAAATAAACAGGATGGCAAATTCGAGAGAGGCACAACATTATGTCTAAACGCAAGTGTACGTGCCCAACCGTTTGTAATTAGTACGCGAACGTGGGACGGTGCGGTGCGCAAATGGTCAGCAGGCCAGACCTGCAATCTCAGGATCAGAATCTTTATCCATGCCGGAGAAATCCGATGAGCTATAATGCTCTTTTTTTCACAGATGTCCAATAGGTGCCGGGTCAGAAAGTTACTATGACATGACAATGTCAGAGGTCCCCGGTTCGAACTCCTGTCACGGCGGTTTAAGCAATGGTGCAAGTTTCTTAAATGCCCCCCCTACCACCCTCCCACACTGCCTCTGTCCACCTCGCAGTATTAAAGGGTACCACCAGTTGGTTGCTCGCTGAACTTCTTTCACACCGTACAGACAACCGTGCTAATCAGAGGTGTGTGGGTGGTGGGGACAACGACCGATACACATCACAAGTGTTGGGGTGAAGTGTGGGTAACTCTCGCCTCTTAAAAGAAGGTCCGGCCAACGTGGAAGATGCCTACGTGGAAGAGCAGGCTAAGGCATCTCCGGGAGGGGTTTGTTGCCACTCCCTCCAGTGGCGAACCATTCCGCCATTGCAGGGCTGCGCCTTTATAATTGCATGGGCGTACATTCCTAGTGGGACGCCTGACGGGCTCCGACTTTTAAGAAGGAGGATATTTACAAACCATAAACAATGCGGCAAAAAAAATGCCAATGTTGTGGCATGTTTACGTTCCCTTTGATTATCGGAGAGTAAATATTTAGTCATTAACACGAGGTTTGTTATTGGTGCATATCAAAACACAGCTGCGGCACAACGTGCCGTTGACATTTTATCCAGGGGCAAGGTTCATGTCGTTTCATCGATGCCAGGTGGCGCATGCTAAAGAATCAGAATCAGAATATTTATACTGGAGGAATCCGATGAGCTAAAAAACTATTTTTTCACGAGACGTCCAGGAGGGGGCGGGTCAGAAAGTTGCAAAACAAACAATACGAAAACTCGACAGGAATGCAAATTAAGGTTTAGCAAATCACAAAAAACATTTATACTGTACATCCATGAGTCGGGAGTGGCTGGAAAACGCAATCGAACCAGTGACGCACTTTCTCGTCAGATCCAAGTGACGACAGCACGAGACAGAGAAGTCCAAGTTTTAGTTTTCCCGTTGTCCTTGCCTACACCCAATGCGGCCTCCCATGTGCCCGCCATCTTCGTCGATCCCCGAAGCTAAGCAGGGGTTAAGCCTGGTTAGTGCTTGGATGGGAGAACGCCAGTGGGGTATGCCAGGTGCCCCGATGGCTCCGCCTGCGAGTTGACTTGTACAGCGGTGGCTTTTTGAATCTCTCTGCTTGGAGATCTGAGGGTCACGCCCTGTTGTGCACTCTGCAAAACCCGTTTCCCCTCCGACATGCCAAACACTACACAAATTGTTTTTCCTTATACCAGGCAAGGCCCACTGAGCTATATAGCTCCTTTTCAGAAACGGCCTGGCCACGAATTTAATTCCTTAATTAATGATATATTGTCCAGGTTGCTGGTAGATTGGCCACTTCATTGAGATATCACATGTGGCCAAATTATCGTAGAGTTTAGGAAACCTCTCACCGCCACTTCTCACGTGGATATTTTCCAGGTTGCTGGGAGACTGGCCACGGTTAAAAGCCCCCCACGAAGTGACTTGTCACGTGGACATATATAGCAGCCATATACTCTTAAACACGTGTTTCGAAATGCGGAGGGGAAAAACCAGAGGGCACTTGTAAAATATCTGATTTGCAGGAACCTCATGAAAAAAGGTACTCTTTGGTTCTTTCGGTAAAGTCACGTAGAAAGAGAAAATAATAAATTAAATAATAGCATACGACGTTTCGATTGCATCACAAGCAATTATCATCAGCTACAAATGAAAGAGAAAACAAAACCTAGTGAACTTATAAATATAATGTAATACAACACAGAGAGTCGGCTAACATAACAGTCAGCACCCAACCTGGTTGATTACGTTCTTCCAAAGATAGCTAAATTTAAGAGAGAGAGATTCAACACAGAACAGGAGACACACAGACAGACACGTAAGCAGAGAGAGATAAAAGGGTCTTGACAATCAGCGAGGCTTCCTAGATCAAGGGCATCATTTTTATTACTATTGTTGATAAAAATCTGTCGAGCGTCTTTATTAAGACTGCACCGACACTTGTCACCAATGTCACCTTTGGCACTCTGACTGGTCCCCAGGTGCGCTTCACAGCGGATGCCGGCGAGGCTGTGTTAAAGCTGAGAGAATCCCGGACGCGTCGCTCAGAGCCACACAATTGATTTACGCTCCCCGGCACACCAAATCCAGTACACATTCCTGCGGAGAGAGCTGGTAGGAACGTTGGGTTGTTCGGTCAATGGCCAGGGTCAATGGCCAGGGTCAACAGCGGCGTAGTGTATTCCGCAAATATGCCCGACTGTGAGGGCGGGCACAAGCCGGCGTGAGTAGGTTAAACGTTGAGTTTTATAAGGGCACCACGGGGTGACCAGCCCCTCCCCACCCAGCCCCACCCTCCCCACCCAGCCCCTCCCACCCAGCCCCTCCCCACCCTCCCCACCCAGCCCCTCCCCACCCTCCCCTCCCCTCCCCACCCAGCCCCTCCCTCCCCACCCAGCCCCTCCCTGCACGACGGACACAATAATCCCCTGTGGGCTGGTGTAACCAGGTAATATATACTGGATATGGGTGCCACGCTGGCGAGATGTTAACTCCCTCGCCTGGTATGCAGGAAGTCGTGGGTTAAATCCCGACTCTGACACCTGCTGCTGTATATTTGGGGTTTGCATGTTCTTCCTGTGGTTGCATGGATTTTTCTCCGGGTCCTCCAGTTTTTCCCTCCACATTTAGAAACATGCGTTTAGAGTATTTGGCTGCTATAAATTCCCACATGATGATAAGCCAATTTGTTGAGCTACCATTTGTGGCCAGGTCGCTTCTGAAAGAGAGCTATATAGCGCAGTGGGCCTTACCTGGTAAGATAAAATAAAAAGCTTATAAGTTAGTTTCGTATGCCTCTCACCGGCACTTAATTTCTCACTTGATATTTCCCAGGTTGCCGCTAGACTGGAGCAGGCATGTGACAAGTGGATGGGTGGGATTTGTAATTCACCAACTCTCACGTTAATTAAATTAATGGCGAATTAATTGGCAATACTGCGTTGGCAGTGGTGCACAAGCACAGACAACAGAAAAACCTCGTCAATAACACGAGCGCATGAAGAAGAGCCATTGCCCAAAATGTGTCCTGTCATTCTAGATTTGAAGCTCTTGTGACTGCAGGAATCCATACTCTTTGGTTCTTTCGGTAAAGTAACGTAGGTATAAAATAAAATAAATCACGACGTTTCGATCGCAACACAAGCAATCATCATCAGGTGGGGAACCACAGCAAGACATTTTTTTTGCTTGTGCTTTTTGATGATTGCTTGTGTTGCGATCGAAACGCCGTGATTTATTTCATTTTATACCTACGTGACTTTACCAAAAGAAAAAAAAGAATATGGTCTCCTGTCATATAGAGCACTTGTCCGTTTAGGAAAAGTGTTACCAACGGCGGTCTTGAAACTGCTCGCAACCGACTCTCCCATGTGACGGGTCGGGGAGGCGGTCCCCGTGTCCCCCGTAGCCACACACCTGGGTCGCTGTAAATCTTCAGGGCGTCGCTGAAGTAGTGGGGCAGGAGCCTCTCGAGCACCAGCAGTGTGTCCTCCAGCTCCTCCAGGATGCCCACGAGCAAGTAGTACTGCACCACGTTGTCCTTGGCCCTCTTGAGCGCCCAGCTACTGGGAACTCTGAAGCCCCGGTCCACACGCACGCACACAAAGACAAAGATTCCCCCCCCACCCCCCGACTGATTAAGCTTTTAACGGACCTGCTGGGGCATACTCTGTTCTCGTGAGCAGCGCGGATGAAGGACGGTAATGGCACGCGAGGCGGCGGGTGGCCAGCACCACACCAGGCTGCCTTTGTCTCCCCGGGTGACGATGTTTACACATCGCACCAGGTACTCGTTTTGAGGCAGACTCGACCTAGGGAAGGCCTCAACACCGGTTCAGATCATCGTCGTGAGCGGGAGTCAAACTCGGGTGGTCTGGCTCGTAGCGCGGAATGCTAACCGCTGCACCGCCGCTCCCCACACACACACACAGACTAAGTTGCTCCGTGTAGCCACAGTACTACTTCTATACTACTACTTCTGCATAGGTTTTCGCTGCTGCGCTGCGTAGCTCTATCCGACGTGGTTTCCAGTTGCGCCGCGTGTTCTCCGGCACGATGTCCGACGTTTTACTCCGCGTGCTGAGAGCATTTTCAGGGGAAAAATTATAATAACTCTTCGATTCAGTTTCCAAAGGAGTTCCCATTACGCGGAGTGGAACGTCGGGAAATGGTGCCGAACAATGCGCGGCACAACCAGAAAACGCAGTGAAGAGCTACACAGCAGCACTGCCACGAAATCCTGAGCAGTCGGAACTTGTTAGATCTGCACGTAATATTGATGAATGTGGTACGTTTCAGACATCCTAGTTCATTGCAATGTTTTTAAACAGCACACCAAAGTACGTTGTGATTATTCCAGTGACGACGCAAATACCTTTCCACCATATGTCCCGAGCCTTTTTGAAAGTGCACGAAAGCAGAACGTGATAGGCATTCCAATAAACATCGACAGACGTTTACCGCTTCTCAAACAACACATCGAATAAAAAAAACCCGACAGCTGGCGGAGTCGGCCCATGTTTGCAGACAAGAAACTTGCAAACAAAAATTGTGCAGCGATTGCAAAGATCGCGTGGAAATGCCATACACGGGCACTTGGGGCAACGGGTTCAAATCATTATCCTCCGTCTTCCTCGTCGCGGAGATTTTCCCGCTCAGCCTTCCTGGTTCTCTCTTGGTCCACCGAAGAGAACAGGAGGATGCCCCCGAGTGTCCGGCCGTCACAGATCCACGCACACATTGGCGCCCGGGGCAACCGTCGTGTTCCACAGACGTTCATGTATCCGACCAGTTCACGTATCCGCACCAGTTCACGTATCCGACCAGTTCACGTATCTGACCAGTTCACGTATCCGCACCATTTCACGTATCCGCACAAGTTCACGTATCCGACCAGTTCACGTATCCGCACCATTTCACGTATCCGGGCACGCTACGCTACGCTGCGCTGCGTTCCGTGTGAACGGACAAGTTTTCGGCCGTTTTAATGCATCGGGTTTTTTTTTCTCTTCTCTTCTCACTGTGGTTGTAAATCAGTAGGTGGCAGCCTCGCCACTGACGGCATCATTTTACAACCGCACACGCCCGGCGCGCTGCAACGAGCCGACGGCTTCCTCCGCCACACTGCGAGTCGGCAACCGATCGATGAGGAAACGCGCAGAGAGGGAATTTGTGTCTCACCGAATATATTCCCTGGCAGACTCGAGTGGGTGTGGTGGCATGTGACCATAATATCCACAACTATAGTGAGAGGTATATTGAACAAGGAGGAGGAGCGGGATGTGGATATATTTTCCCTGGTGGTTGCTCAGGATGGAACATTGCTCTGGAAACGAAACTAAAACTTAACTTTCTATTTTAGCAGGTAAGGCCCACTGAGCTATGCAACAATTTTTCATAAGTGACCTGGCCACAAATGATAGCTCAACCAAGCGGCTTATCACGCAGACATTTATAGCGGCTAAATACTCTAAACGCGCGTTTCTAAATTGCGGAGGCAAAAACGGGAGAGTCCGGAGAAAAATCCACGCGACCATGGGAAGAGGACATGCAAACTCGACATATACAGGCATCAGGGTCGGGATCGAACCCACGACCTTCTGCATACCAGGCGAGGTTGTTAACATCTCCTAGCCACCGTCACGCCCTCAATAGCCCCTGAAGGAGCACTCACCAGGGTTGGTGTGGCATCTTCACCGGAGCTCACCGGTGCTGCCAGTTCCCATGTACTCGATGTACTTCTTATCGGGGAAGACGCAAATCCAAAAAACGAATAGCTCTCGTCTTGTAGATACAATGGATGTTCCCAAATTTGGATTAATCTGAAAAATCCCAAAACTGGGACCATATGCTAAATTTCGTGCTTTTCGAGAAAGCATATATTTCGTAAGTGCGAGCTACGTTCAATGATCGTGTCATGTAAATGTTCAGAACATCCTTAGAAATTGTCTTTTGCTGTCTCAGGACCTACAGCGCACAATGCATGCTTTCAACGTAAGAGCTATTTGGGTTTTGGGTTGCAAATTCTCTTAATCCCACTCTCTTCAATCACAATCTTTGCAGCGGTTTCAGCCAAGGGCCAAGATTTTGCCGAGTTCAGCAGTGTTTTCATTTCGGTAAATGGAAGCATTTTTTATATATTTATTTGCCACGCAGCCAGCGGTAAAGTGTGCCCGGTGATGGTGGCTTACCGGCACCGGGGATCCTGCCCACAGAAGTAGGGGACGATGTAGAACAGGCGAGGGTTGGTGCATTCTGGGTAATTCTTGAGGATGCAGTCGTTCACACTCTGGAAGCAAAAAGACAAACTGCGGTCATTTGAGCCCTCCCCAGATAAACAAAAACATGTCCCACCCCCGAGCGTTGCCCCAAATTTGCTATCGGTTTCACGTCACGAGTCAACGTATTCATTTCGGATATCGCGCCGAGCATCGCAATGCTTCGTGCTAGAGAACAGCCCACAGAAGTGGACATGACACAGAGCCACCTCTGGGGATATCTTCAAGTGGCATCTTGCCCAAACAGTAGAGGGCGCCCTTTTCCCCACCCACTGCCATGCGAGAGTAAAGTTCGTCACACGCCACTCAAGCCGGTATATTTTATACTCTTAGTTTTTTCGGTAAAGTCACGTAGGTAAAAAATTAATTTAAATTAATAAAAATAAAATAATAAAAATCACGACGTTTCGGAGGCAACACAAGTCTCCGTCATCAGGTGGGACTGTCACAGCCATCACAGCCAGATTTGTTGTATCAAGTGAGGCAGGGATTCCAAGATGCAAGTTCTTAAATACAAGTTAAGGGTATATTTGAATTCTCAGAAGTGGAACTTAGCCAAATTGCAGTACTGCTATTTAGTGCGATGGATGTCTGTGTGGTCATTGGTAAATGAGCTGAGATCGTCAACTCTTGAGCCTTGAGGCAGAGTCGAACCGAGATTCAAAGTGGCTGGCAGCTCTTTAGGCTTCTGAGCCACTCAGTCAACCTCCTCAATCTAAGGATGTGAAACCCAAACAACGTGTACATACGATTTGGCCTTCTCACTCCCAAAAAAGACAAAAAAAATTCACGAGCGTACGTCCAAAAGAAAAATCCCAGTCACGTTTCAAGATTCAAATTCAGCCGTTTCGAGAAAAATGAGACGAAATGGTATTTTCGCCGTCATAATTGCGGCGAGAATGTTTGACGACTCCATCGGTTTTATGCTATCGCAATGGTGCTTCAATTCACAACGTATCGGCTTCATGATTACCCCAAGGCCGTGCTATATACAATGCAACAATGGTATCCCCGCACACCTGGGTAGGGCTCTGAATAAGACGGCTTCCATTAATTGATTTAGCTCACGGACAGAGAGTCGCCTTTGAGTCAGGATCCTGCCATGGAACGGTTGCATTCATTAATTAACGACGGCCATCTAATCCACGTAATCTTCTCAGAGCTCATCGTCCGTCTTAAAAACATGAGTGACACTAGCAAGGTCAAGGTGCAGTTCTGAAACCGCTTGCTCATCGCCTCTGCTGGCAGAATGGCCTCCACCGATAGAGAGATATAGAGGGCTCCTCTGTAGAAAGCATAAGTTTAACATGCACACATACATTTGGCCGCCTGGTGGTGTTTCATTCAGACGCTGTCGTTCCGACAGACCTGTTCTTCACCTGAGGATGGCTGCTTGCGTTGTGGCCGAAACGTCGTGAGAATTATTTTATTATGTTTTATTTTATTATTTTATTATTTCCCTTCTACGTGACTTTACCGAAAGAACCAAGAAGAATTGGCCGCCTGTTCCACACTTGACAGACGTCTTGGAATAAGCCAGAGCAGCCAGAATTGACCCCACCACACGCGACATGCCCGATTTACACTGCTCGGTGGATCGGGGCGGTGACGTTACAAGAAAGTTCGCAACACACTGTGTCCATTGCCACGCCGGAAGATTGAACAGAACCGGTGACCTCTGGATTGGACGCCCAGTGCGCACACCGTGACACCATGGCGGCGGCAGCAGCATCTCTTAAAAGCTTTAAACACACAAATACATATTTTATTACCAAAGCAGGGAAATCAATTTTTGTTGCTGTGCTATGCTCCCACGTCTATGCTCCTCCTATTTTTACCAAACGAGCATAGACCAGCGTGGTGAAGTATGTTCAAGTAATCCCCACAAAACCGCACAGTGTGGGGTGGCCCTCGTACATTTTACGTTACCAAATCGCCCTGGAATGTTGCCAGATCTCAGAAGTTCTTGGTAAACTTAAGACTGATTGAGCCTGGTGAATAGAGTTCTGGTGCTGTCGGCGTGGGCCACAAGGATGGTCAGGGGATGGCGTTACAGCAATGGATCCTTCAATCTATCTGTGCGAAGCGTTCAGTCTTCAGCCCCCCGTCGCGTGCACAGGTTTACTGTACGTACGTATCTTCTTGGTTCTTTCGGTAAAGTCACGTAGAAGGGAAATAATAAAATAATAAGAATAAAACATAATAAAATACAATTCTCACGACGTTTCGGCCACAACGCAAGCACAAATACGCACGTTGAACTTCTTTCACACTGAACGTAGCCGACCGTGCTACGTCGGGAGATGCGGTGGAAGGACACCGAGTTAAACACGAAACAACTTCTTTAAATTTCGATGTAAAGCTTTCGTGACTGCAGGGATTCATCTTCTTGGTTCTTTCGGTAAAGTCACGTAGAAGGGAAATAATAAAATAAAAAATATAAAACATAATAAAATAACGCGTTGTGGCCGAAACGTCGTGAGAATTGTATCTTATTATGTTTTATTCTAATTATTTTATTATTTCCCTTCTACGTGACTTTACCGAAAAGAACCAAGAAGAACTGTTCTTTAGTGGAGGCCCTTCCACCATCGGTGGAGCGAGAGAGTTCACTGCAGGGTTGAACTTTTCCTTTTCACGCAAACCGGCGCCGTGTAATCATAATCTCCAGCCGGCGCGTTCACTCGTTCGCCAGGTTGCAAACGGCCGCCCTCCCCCCCTCACCAGGGACCTCTCGTCATCCTTCATGCCCGGCGTGCGAACCAGGTGGATCTGCTCCGAGCGCCAGTCGCCAAACCGGCGGAAGAAGTAGCTGGAGAGGAAGCGGCTGATGGGGTCGCGGATGATGTTGATGTAAGCTGGCTGCTCCACGCCATACCTGCAGGGAAAGGCAAAACAAATTTAGACAAAAAAAATCCCGCTGACGTCACGTCCTTCCACCGCGCGCGAGAAAATAAAATAAATAGAAACAAACCGCTGGGCGAGCGAAAACGGCTCGAGAGGGGGGGGAGGTTGCGAAAATCCGCCGGAGGAAATACCACCTGGCAGAGGAAATGATTAAATATCGGCAGCTAACAGGATCGTGTCAACACCGCCGCTAATGTGCACGCGTACGAGCGGGGATTTGGGATTTCTCTTTGAGTTTCATTTCAAAAGGAAAACCCGCTTCGGACTGACGAGAAATGTGTGTGACGCAGCGCCGATTCCGGGCGCTAGAAATCACAGTGGAATGACGGCGCAGGCCCGTGTGAGGAAACCGCTGATTGTTTGAACAAATTCAAGGATAGTTAAACACGGCTCTGTCAATTGAAACAAATGTCGTAAGTGATCGATGTGAATACCTTGCGCAGGATCACAACACCGCAGAGTGTGATCTGTGAAACTTTATTTACTACTTCTTCCCCTTCCAATCGCCTCCATGTTGTCACAAAAGGGGCCCTCGTTTTATATACTCTGTACGTGAATTCATCCAAGGGGCTTCGTCCACCTCTGATGCACGATGTCTTTTCTTTTGTTTTCGCGTTCGCCACACGGCAGAGGTCGCAAACGGGTTTTGATTCCTTACCCGTACCCGGCCGCACCAGGGTCGCCAATGGGTACCCGTACCCGTACCCGGCCGGGTACGGGTACCCGTTCCCTACCCGTACCGGCACCCTACCCGAAATGAGTGACAAACGGTTACTCACCAGTGACTCACGGCCTACCCGTACCCGGCCGCACCAGGGTCACAAACGGGTACCCGTACCCGTACCTGGCCGGGTACGGGTAGCCGGGTATCGGGTAGGGTACGGGTATCGGGTACCCGGTTGCGACCTCTGCCACACCATGCCCCGATGAACGTCGCAGTAATTTAATTGAACTCGCTTTCATGTACAGCTCGTCGCCTGCCGAGACGATGCATCGCAGACGATGCGCTCGCCTTGACGCACACCGATCTTCTCCCGTTGTATGTCAGAGCAACATTTGTGTAACTGATGTCAGACGGTGCCTGACAAAACAGTGTCTCGGATACTGATATTGACCCGAACTCCACACTTTTTCCCCAATCTGATATGACCCCCCCCACCGCCGCCCATGCATTTGACGCGCTCAAAGGTACAAAGGTAGCGTATTCTCGATTCTTGCATCTGCTGGCTGTGCTGTCCCAGTCGTTGGCACGTTCATTGGGATAACGCTTTGCGTGACTTACGTTGCATTTTGTTTAACGTTGTAACTGAAACACCCCTCGACAAACAAGAATAAACAAAGGAAGGGGAAAAAAACGGTCGCTCAAAAACTGTCAAACAGCGGAGGTAAAACTAAAAATGCCCTAATAAACTTTGCGATGCCCATTTCGCAAAACGTAATAAAAGTCACCTTTCAACTTGCATGTTTTCACTGTAACGTTATATTTCCAAGGCAGGTAAATCTGCACCGCGAGCTTTTAAAAAATCAGCGTGAAATATATAAATACGTACGCACACAGGCGGTGAATGGTGCAATTACTGTTTTCGTGGCCTATTAGAAGTCTAAATATGGAACGCTTTCATCTCTCATTGATGGCTGAAAGACTTTTTTTTTAATGCACAAAAAAAACACACACACACACACCGCTCTTGATTAAAAGCCACCAAAATCAGCAGAGTGAAATATCTTCGCTTTAAGCGCAGGGAAAACGCAATGAAGAGTGAAGAGGTGGGGGTGAAAAAAAAACCCAACCCCTTCAAATTGACCGGCGTGTTTTACGCAACTTCGCGAAGACTACAGCCGCTGAAATCGATACATTATTTTCCTGGGGATCTTTGATCTTTCTTGCCTTTTGTGGTTGGAGTATGACCTGCCACAAGTCATTATGCAAACAGGAAGCAGCGTGGCTGTACAACACATAGCTTCGCTTGCTGTTTTCTCTCTCTCTCCATCCACTCCCATTTCCCTACTCTGCTTCTCCCGTCTCTCTTATTTTCACGTTCGTTCGTCATCTCAACGGAAATTTCCAAGGGACCAATTTCTTTTTTTTCTCTTCCGGTTTGCCGAATGAGCATCCACCGCTGCGTTTGCTCAATAAGCAAATGCCTCCTCCCGTGCTGTTCGTTTGCGTTCATTTCACCATCCACTTCGTTTCTCACATTTTATTTTTCCCATAAGCTGTGCCCACAGCTGGAGCAGTTGATTTATCGCTTTCATCAACGAACCGTACGAAATGCTGCAAGATTCGTAAAATACACACACACGCGCACGCACGCACACACGCGCAGAGCTTATTTGAGAAAATTGTGTAAAACAGCAATAATGAATTTTTACATGAAACATAAAACGTCAATCCACTGCTGGATGAAGGCTTCCTCTACGCCGCGTGAGTCATGGTGGTTCACCATGCTGGTGGTGCAGTGCCGGTTGGTGAGGGGCGACTTCGGCCACGGTTCAGATATCGCTCACCACTGCTGGGAATCGAACCGAGGTGGCCGGGTCCGTAGTGCAGTGCGCTCCAAGCAGTGGACCAACCACTCCGCACTGAACAGTGATCAGCAAAACGGCCCAGAGGCGTGCAGATTTACACATTCGTAGATGCACTGCCGATCTCCAATGATCCTCTTTCTTCTAGATTTGAAGCTTTCGTGACTGCAAGGATTCATACTCTTTGTTTTTTTCGGTAAAGTCACGTAGGTAAAACAATCAATAAAATAAAATAATTGAAAACAACTCAATTAAATCACGACGTTTCGGAGGCAACACAAGCTTCCTTCATCAGGTGTAAAAAAGGCACAGCAAAATAACTGTAGCTGTAGCTACAGAGTGTGGATCCTCTTTCTTTTAACTCTGCAGGTTTCAGGTTTCAAGTTGATTTTGTTGAACCGTGGTGAGAACTCAAACACGCCAGCATAGTCTCGTTGTGACGGTGACCCTGGGGTCACCAAAACTGACAAAAGTAACATAAAATAAAGTAGAGCTCTCAGTAACGTAGAAATCAGAAGTAAAAACAACTGAGATATCGAAAATATTGCGGACACAAATCAACGTTAAACTTTACCATTCCCTGTGACACGAGTCAGCTCGGGCAGATGATGTTTCGACCGATCACGGTACAATTATAGCTTAAGTTACAGAAACGTTAGACTGACGTAGGGTGACCGTTGAACTAAAATATAGCGCACACACGGATATACAGGCGATTGAATGACGTAGTGACAGAAGATACTGCTCCAATAGCCTTACAGAGGGGTGTTAAGAGATGCAGTGTCGCTATCGCGATTCGCGGGTACGGGATACATGTAGCCTGTGGAGGCTTTCATAGAGAATTCCATTTTCAAACGTAATTTCTCCTCTCGAATATTTGTGGACTATCTATAAACCTTGTTACATTCATTGGGGGCGATCCATTTACAGATGCCCTTTTACAACTCACGCGGCACAATCGGGCACTAAATTCGCACACACATTCATACCGAGAGGATTGGGGGTGGGGCAGAGGTCGCAACCGGGTACCCGATACCCGTACCCTACCCGATACCCGGCTACCCGTACCGGCCGGGTACGGGTACCTGTTTGCGACCCTGGTGCGGCCGGGTACGGGTAAGGGTAGACCGTGAGTCACTGGTGAGTAACTGTTTGTCACTCATTTCCCAACGTCTTGTCTCTTCTCACAATTCAAGTTCCTAGAATCAACCCACCCGTGCCTGCAACATGACTTCATCCCAGAGGTCGCAATCAGGTACCCGATACCCGTACCGTACCCGTACCCGGCCGGGTACGGGTACGGGTACCCGTTTGCGACCCTGGTGCGGCCGGGTACGGGTACGGGTAAGGAATCAAAACCCGTTTGCGACCTCTGGGGTGGGGGGCACTGTGAGGGCCGTCTGGATTAGGACTGCGGAGGCAGCTGGCAGATCGCCATCATTGCACAAGAACAAGAGATGATCACCGCAACTGGGACACGAAGTGGTGGCACTGACGGTGCGGTCTGGTCGAGGGCCGGGGGGGTGGAAGCGGAGCCAAGGAGCCGTGCCCTGTGGCCTACGGTACAACCCCCCCCCCCCGCCCTCGTCTCTACTAGACAGGGGCACAGGGGCTACTAAGGCGACTCGTGATCCAGCACTCACAGATTCACTCGCTCAGCCACTCGCTCGGTCACTCACAGATTCACTCGCTCAGCCACTCGCTCAGTCACTCACCGATTCACTCGCTCAGTCACTCACAGATTCACTCGCTCAGTCACTCGCTCAGTCATTCACCAATTCACTCACTCAGCCACTCGCTCACTCACAGATTCACTCGCTCAGCCACTCGCTCGGTCACTCACAGATTCACTCGCTCAGCCACTCACTCGGTCACTCACAGATTCACTCGCTCAGTCACGTGCTCGGTCACTCACAGATTCACTCGCTCAGTCACTCACAGATTCACTCGCTCAGCCACTCGCTCAGTCATTCACCAATTCACTCACTCAGCCACTCGCTCGCTCACTCACAGATTCACTCGCTCAGCCACTCTCTCGGTCACTCACCGATTCACTCGCTCAGCCACTCGCTCGGTCACTCACAAATTTACTCGCTCAGCCACTCACTCGGTCACTCACAGATTCACTCGCTCAGTCACGCGCTCGGTCACTCACAGATTAACTCGCTCAGTCACTCACAGATTCACTCGCTCAGTCACTCACAGATTCACTCGCTCAGCCACTCGCTCGGTCACTCACAGATTCACTCGCTCAGCCACTTGCTCGCTCACTCACAGATTCACTCGCTCAGCCACTCGCTCAGTCACTCACCGATTCACTTGCTCAGTCACTCGCTCGGTCACTCACAGATTAACTCGCTCAGTCACTCACTCGGTCACTCACCTATTCACTCGCTCAGTCACTCACAGATTCACTCGCTCAGTCACTCGCTCAGTCACTCACAG